TTAATTAGAAAGAAAAAAATCTAATTTTGTGAATGTTTTTGTGGTCGATGTGAATGAAATTATTATTCTTTACTAGTAAGATTTGTTAGTGGGTGTTTATTTATTTATTAATTTATTAGAAATATTGGTAACGTTTTTTTTTAGGGTAGCAATCCTTGTAGAAGAGAGGGGTACAGTTCTCAGCAGGTATATGAGAATGGCTGAGAAACAGGTGTCTGATTGGGCTTCTGACGCTGATGGGGCATCGGCTCTGCCACCGCCGCGCCCGGCTGGGGGGCTGGTGCGAACGTCAATGAATTTCCGGGGATTTCCAGAGAGACAGATCCCAAAAGAGGGTCACCTGGTAGACTTGGAGAAAGAATTGGCGCAACAAGATAAACCTCCACGGAACCTGGAGTTCCCAAAAGCCCCGAAAGACTCAGTGCTCAAATCGGCGGCAAACGCGGCGATCGCTCAGGCCCACCAAACGTATCGGCATGCTCTGCTATCTGGCATCAGCGAGTCCATCCGCGCGGAGATGCGAGCTGGCTTCATGGAAGTGATGAAGGGCATCATTGATGTGCTCAGGCCGCCAGGGAGCCAAGCCGCCGAGACTAACCCTGCGCCGAAGCCGCCGAGACATGTCGAGCCGGGACCACGAACAGGCGCCATCTCGAAAGAACGGGAAGTGGTCCAGCGCGAGGCATTTCCCCCACCGGTCCCACCGATGCCACATAGACAAGGCGCACGAGGGGCGGAGTATTTTTCCAGCAGCCCAGTTTTCGTCGCAGATGCTCAGACGAGGAACTGGCGTAACCCGAATAACGGCCATTTCCGAGTAGAGGACCGGAGAGCGGATGATTTTCAACCGGAGGAGGCGTACGCCAACGTACGAGAAGCGGCGTACATGTAGCTCGAGCGATGGAACGTCAAGTTTGACGGCGAGGACGCGATGAATTCGGTCGAAGACTTCTTGTTCCGCCTGGAGTTCCTGCAGAGGCAGTATCAATGCCCGTGGAAGGAAGTCCTGCGCGGTTTCCACCTGCTCCTGACCGGCCGCGCCCGCGAGTGGTATTGGATACACGTGCGGCATTCTAGGGTCGACAGCTGGATGCAGCTGCGACATGCCCTCTTGGACAGGTTCCGGGGCTACCAGACGGAACACGATGTGATGCAGGAGCTATTACAACGAGAGCAACAGGCCAGCGAAGGGGTGGATGCCGCGCGATTCCAGAAGCCGCTGAGAGACGGCGTGGCTTGAAAGAAAGTCTGGCGAAATATATCTATGCCATTGACGTACTCACCGTGGATGAGCTGCGCCAAGAGTGCCTAGAAGTGGAGAGGCACATGGGTCGCAGAAGCCGGATGGAACACCTGCGGCCGTCGCGTTGTCCACAAGGAACGAGGCCCGTAGTCCACGAGGTTGAAGTACCACTACAACGTACAGAAACGCCGCCGGGAGAACTGGAGGAAGCATTCGTGCAAGGCAGGAACTCATCCCGACTTGTATGCTGGAACTGCAGATAATTCGATCACGTCTTTAGAGACTGCCTGTCCAAGGAGCGGAAAATATTCTGCTATAGGTGTGGAAAGCCAGACACTTTCTGCTCCCAGTGTGAAAACTGTCCGGGAAACCCCAGAGGGAGCGCGGTGATGGCGGGGCAGACGCGTTCCGGGACGGCGACCGCGGGGAAGCAGGAGAGGGGTACCTACCAAAGCCAATAATCATTGAAAAGAAGACGGAGAGTTGGAATATGGATCAGGATAAGGCGTATTATAATAATAATATAAGCAAAGGAGGAACACTTAGGGGCTTACCGTATGAAGAACGTGTTCGGGCATACATGTCGGCCCGAAATAGAATTTTTGTTGAGCGACAGCTGGAAGGTATGCACGCTTCCGCAGACGCAGGATTACCCGGCGCCAGGTCGTCGAAGCGGTGAGACGGGAGGATAGTATAGACCCACGCGTATTCGCCGAAGTGGAAGTCGCCGGGGCCAAGATGAAAGGGTTGCTGGACACGGGGCCTCAGTCAGTCTGTTGGGACGAGGATGCCGGGAGTTAGTGGAGGAACTGGGATGGGAAGCGCTGCCATACGAATCGATGGTGAGGACAACGGCGGGTGCCAATCGCCCAATTTTAGGTCGCGTGGTTCTGCCTGTGAAATACGAGAATAGAAAGGAAGATATCGTATTTTACACCTGCGACAGGAACTATACCTGGGAATCGACTTCTGGCGGGCCTTCGAGATTGTACCAGAGCTGCTCGGTCCGGCCAGAAAGCCCGGAACACCACCAGAGGCATCTGAGGTAACGGTAGTGAACCCAGAGGTGGCTTATTACCGGGACGACGACGACTGCGCGACGGATTCGAAAATGAGGGACCTGGACAACGATCAGAGGAGTCAGTTGGAAAGCATGAAGCGCAGATTTCTCCAATTTGAGAAGGATGGCCTCACCTGCTGCAGCACCGAATTCAGCTGATCGAGGGAGCAGAACCCGTGAAGGACAGACATTATCCGCTGTCTCCGGCCAAGCAGGCGATCGTGTGTGCCGTGGTGGATAAAATGCTAAAGTTAGGTCGAATTGACCCCAGAGGATCTGTTGGGATTTCAGACTCCGGAGTTCGAGAGCACCGAATATCGAGAGCTGATAAAAGGGGTGATGAGCCAACAAGGGATGTTGCCGGATCTTAGAGTGCAGGACGGACTTCTGTTCAAGAGGACCGGGAACGAGAGCTTGGAGGATGAGGTCGAAGGCAGACTACAGCACTCATCCAACAAGCACACGCGGACGAGACGTCAGCTCATGGAGGCATGAGGAAAACGCTGCACGCGCTGCGCAGGCGATATAATTGGCCCAACATGGCCATACAAGTCAGGGACTATGTACGGAAATGCTATACATGCAAGGAGACCAAGGCACAAAACTACCGGATGCAGGTCGGAATTGGGGAAGAAGTGCGCACCGACCGCCCCTTCCAGAAGCTATATATCGACTTCTTGAGGAAGTATCCATGGTCGAAACGAGGGCATGCGTGGATATTCGTCGTCGTAGACCACTTCTCGAAATTTACCTTCCTGAAGGCCATGAGGGAAGCCACCGCGGCGGATGTCGTGAACTTCCTAGTGAATGAGGTGTTCTTCAAATTTGGCGTGCCGGAAGTGATCCATTCGGATAATGGACGAAAATTATTGTCAAAGTCGTTCGATGCGATGGTCCATTCGATTGGCATTACTCACCAGTGTATTCGCCTCAGAGCAACGCCGCCGAACGCGTGAACCGCACAGTGCTGTCTGCAATCAGAACCTACCTGGGTCAGTATCATCGGGATTGGGGCACGTACCTACCAGAGGTGGAAGTGGCGATCCGGAATGCGGTCCACAGCGGTACGGGAGTGACTCCGTTCTTCGCGGTCTTTGGACAGCAGATGTACCTGAATGGTTCCAGCTACAAACTGGCCAGGAAGCTGAGATCATTGGCCGATCACAGTATTTCTGACCTTGAAGCGAAGGACAGACTGGATGTAATCCGAAGCCACGTCAAGGACCATCTGCACACCGCTTACGAGTGAAGTCGCCAACGATACGACCACCGCGCGCGCCAGCTCCATCTGGAACCGGAACAGGAAGTGTGGAGGCGCAACTTCGCACTAAGTAGCTTCGGCAAAGCCTTCAATGCCAAGTTCGCCCGAGCCGAGTCGTCCGAGCCGTGGGCACCAACGCCTACGAGTTAGAAGATCTCCAGGGATGCGTGCTAGGCGTCTTCCCCGCAAAAGATATACATAATCGTAATTTGCTCACCTCCCTGCCAGGCAATGGCGGCGGCAGCGCCCGTCCTCCCTGTTTTTTTTCTTTCGGGTCAGTGCGAAAATATAGATTACTTGTCGTGGATTACTTACGTTGGGCATCGTTATTAGCCGGCTGGGTCAATCCATATGCGCACGCAGATTCGATGTAACGGTTATTCATGTCGTTACAATAATCTGCGTGGTGATGGTGCATTTGACGTTATCGGCAGCACCGAGTGTTTACCTAGTTGGTTGCGTGCGATATTATCGGACACGCCGATATCTTTTCGTCATATGGTCAGAGTATGCGGGGTGAAGCTGCGCCCACGGCGGAGCCCAAATTTTTGAAGGGTGGCAATGCCAGACTTACGATCCACGGCGCCAAAAGCGACGATTGCTATTGGCCGCCCGGTTCGCTCTTAAAGAGAATATGCATAGAGTGGATCGCATGCCCTTGGATATGCCCTTGGTCGTCATTTGGGCCATTGACCCAAAAAAATGCAGCTGTGCAGATGTGCAGCAACGGTGCCCGCCTCGCCAACGTATGCGTGTGCCGAAATTCGGCACCGATGATGTTGCTACCCAAATGTAAAGGAGTTCGACTTTGTCAGCGGTCCACAGCGGACGTACCGGCTCACAGTTAAAAAATGTGAAAGTTGGATATTTTATTTTGCCGGCTACGGATAATGTGCTTAAAAAAAAGGAATAAAAAAATCAAAGGGCATACACTTGTTTTTGACGGGGTTTCTTTATTAGTCAATCGCTTAATCCGTATGTGCTAACGTATTGCAAAAGAAAAAACTTAAAACTTAAGTGCGACGAAACAAACCAAAAAAAAGGGAAAAAAATAAAAATTAACGGCTCCGGCAACAAAGTGACCAGCTCCCGCACCAGAGAAGCCCACGAACATATCATACCATTCCGCGACGCCGCCACCCAAGCGTCGGCGCAACTCTGAAGGCGACGAGACGAGCCACCGACGACCGGACGCCAACAACGAAGAAGCGACCACAGGCGAGACCACGCCCACATCCTCCGAGTGAGTCCGTTCCATTTTGCCCATCCTCGTTCGAGCCCTTGGCAGAGAAATGATGGAGACTCCTGATTGTACTCCCTGAAAAAGAACAGATTTTTTTTTGTCGTTAAATTTAGTTTTTTTTGTATTTATAAATCATGTCTATACATACATAGGCACTTACGCCGAATTTCACTTTAGAGTGCGAACGGTGAGGGAATTTCCAAAGGTGCTGCATCTGCGCCTGTAAAAGATAAAAATTTAAAATTAACACATGCCATCACCTAATTGGAATTACCCATTTATATCGCCCCTTACCATCCCCAGAGCGCTCTTTAGGTAGGGTAAGGTAGCGATTAAAGCGATTTAAAACAATTTATATCACCTACCTGTTGCACGACTGATTGTCGTGACATACCCAGTTTTACGTAGTTGTGTGGGCACATTGTTCCTAAATTGGCGCAACGATTGCCTCTAAATTGCCTCCGTTAATGCCTAATGTCCATAAGTATAAATATAAATATGCAACATTAATATGCACCCGGGGAAGAAATGCTCACGTGCGTGAATATTATCTGGACGGAGACCTCGTGCAAAAAAGAACGAAATTAAAGAAATATTGATGCCAATAATTATAGGAATGCACGAACCATTATACGCACCTGTGAAGCTAATCAAATATCCACTTGCATGAGATTCTAAATAGCTGCAAAGATAAATGCCATAGGCGATGATTATAATTGTTATACACTTTAAGAAAACGCAACCAATTATATACCGTACCTGATGAGAGAAATGTTCGGCTAAATTTTCTTCGTTGGGGAGAGTTGGCATAACAGCCGGCACAGGCTGATGGCCATCTAATGGACAAAATGTGGGAGACGAGTAGGTGATCGTCTCATGGTTGGGCGGGTACGCTGGGTCCGGAACCGGGGCCCGATCTGGAAGAGTAAGGTGGATAAATAGTGTCTTTTTTGTTAATTTATATTGAGTGTCTCACCTTTGTTGTTTACATTTTCATAGTTGTTACAGCTGTTTATTTTGTTCATGAGTTATCAGTTCCGATTGTTTGACGTTATCGATTTGTGGTTTGTTTTGCATAGTGTTGTGTAAGTCTGTTTTGCTAAAGACGTGTAGCTTTGTTGTTATCAATTGTGCGGACTGCGGGCCAGGGATGGGACTACACCCAGAGAAACCGATGAGCCGGCGCGGCCCACCGAGAAACAAGCAGTTCCGTAACATAATCGTCACAACATTTTTTAGTTGCCAAATTGACTGTAAATTCGATTTAATAATTATTAATTTCAATTAAAAACGGAATTTGCCAAACGAATTGTAATGACAATTAATTTTTGACACCAATTACCATTCGCTCAGAAGCCCAAAATCTCACAAATAATATATTATATGTATTAATCTCCAAAGCGGTTAGTATGTACATATCTGCCAAGAATTGAAAGCCTTGGCTTCATTAGCGCAACCAAGCCAATAGAGTTGGGCTTTCAATTTCTTGCACAGTACCTGCTGTTCCGTTTTGGTAGCTACTTTCCTTAGCATCTCCTGATGGCAGCAGTACAGATAATTATATTGATCTCGCCCGACGCGATTTAATTTGAATTTTTAATTTTAACTCACTCGCGAGCCACAACTAGTTGCACTTTACCACAAATTATTTTCTAATTAAAATTGTATGATTTTATATTATTATTTAAAAATCTGGTGGCTTTTAAGACGTAGATTTGATACGCTTCGTGCTTGTGTTGGTTTAATTTAATTCAACAGCTGACAACGAACTTCTTAAGTCTAAATTAAGCTACGCCGGCTAAGCGAGGCGAATTCGCTCCCAGAGCGAGTGATTAAGTTTTACTGCACTCCTGCTCCGCCATAAGCCTAACTTTCTAACACTAGACTTCAAGTTTTAATTTCATTTCATTAAGCACTGCGCGGATCTGCGCCAACAACAGGCTTGAATAAAAAATTTGCAACAGAAATTCATTAGGCATCAAAAACTATAAAATTGTCCGAGGTGGCACAGTTACATACATATTTAATGGACACAGTATATTTATTTTTCTAAGGCATATATATAATTAGATTTTGATTTAATTGATTGATGACAACATAAATAATTTATATCTCATTTTAGGTTACTTTCTTATTTCGCATGCTCAAATATATGAATGTCCTAAAATCATAAAAGCAAAATAAAAATATTTTTTTTCCTCCATTTATCTAAAAGGTTGTAAGCAATTCTTCTTCAATGCTATTTGATCGGAGAAGTTGTGCTGGGGTGGGTCCACCCTCAACTGAATAAGGAGACTTGGATGAGGTTGCTGTTTTACTCTTTTGTTCATGATATTCATCAGAAAAGTTCTGCCGGAAATATTGAGTTAGCATAAATATCATTTTTGAAAAAGTAACTTCAAAATAAACTACCTTTAATCGACACCCTAAGAATAGGGCACGCTCACGTTTTCGAACCATATAATCTGAAGACATAAGCCATCTATGCTCCAGACAGTCATCTGTGTATGGCCTTTTCCTATTAATGAAACAAATGTATCAAATGATTCTTTTTGTAAATAATAATTTTAAGCTTACGTGGGATGTCGCTTAAATAACTGCATAATAAACCGAGTTGCTTCCGGAGTAACTTCCTTGAAAAGATTTTCGAAACGATATCGAACAAAGGAAATGTTTTGTGTAGTTTCATACTCGTCAGCACCGCGGAATGGACTACAACCAGATAGAAGTAAATAAGCAAGCACGCCCAATGACCAAATGTCACTTTGAGGAAACACCGGTTCTTCATTTATCATCTCTGGAGGTTGGAAGTCCAACATACCAGTTGGTGTTATTTTAACTCCTAATTTATTTACTTTTTTGGCTGCTCCAAAGTCGACAAGCTTGACTTGAATAGATCGAACCGATGCCATAACAACATTATCCGGTTGTATATTAAGGTGACAATATCCACGCCAATGCAGATATTGCAACGCATCCAAAAGTTGAGTAATGACGCATGCAACCATTTGTTCAGAGTATTCATGTCTACTACAGAAGTAAGTAAGCACGTCTGCTCCCTGAAGTTTTTCCATCACAAATATTGCGATTGGTAAGTTCATGGGCTTATAAGCTCCAAACAACGCTGGAATACGTTCATGCCTTAAAGTTTTGAAATTTTCAAATTCCGAAACTATAGCATCTTCATTATCATCAGTTACTTCGAAAATTTTTGCAACAACGACCGTATCAGTAGATTTTTGAATTCCCTTGACAATGGTGCTAAATTCTCCACGTGCAATTTCGGAAATAAAACTGTATTTATCACTTACGGAGGAATCAGTTACCCAGTTAGGAGGGTCTCGCTCGCAATGATAGTCCATATGTACACGTTCTTCTTCAAGCACCACTTCTTGCCCCTTTTCAGTCAGCATTTGTAAATGCTTCATAGCTTTGGTAATGTGGACTTTTGGAGATTCCGTTCCCGAAGTAGATGCATTAACGGGTATTCCCATTTCACTCCAACCAATGCGATTTTTCGACGCCAATCGAATTTGATAATTTGTGTTAGGAACAAGCTCATGTAAAAGGTAAAATTCATGATCAATATTATCAGCTACAGTTGTCCACGTATCCGAACTAAGCATTTTGTATTGAAGACTATAACATAAGACTGGAGAGTGCCCATCATCGCGCGGTTGTTTCCATCTAAGAAGTATTTCTGTTGCACTTGTTGCTGATACTTCCGGTGAGTCAGGGGCATCGGGAAGAGTTGCAATCACTATACGACATCTTGCCACAGTTTGACCAACTTTATTTCTAGCAACTGCTTTATAGATTCCTACGTCGTAATGAACTGCTGGTTCAAATCGCAGTATTGATCGACCATCCTCATCAAAAGTTATTTTTATCCTCTTACTTTCATTTACAACCATATCATTTTTAAACCATTGTACGCATGGTTTAGGATCGCCAACTGCAAAGCAGTGTATATGCGCTGGCTTATTTTCCATAATAGCAATGGTTTGTGGTTTTTCTCTAAAAAAGGGTGGGTAGCCATCACGCTGACATTCTATCATTGCGTCGGCCTCTGTGTATTCATTCAAACGAGGTCCAAGTTCGGTTCGCAGGCGTCTTATAGAATATGAATCATTTGCAGAGTACATGCTTATTCGACTTCTTGTTCGCTCGTCATCAATTTCTTCATCCATTATATCAGTAAATCGTCGTCTTTCACGAATTACTGGAAGCTGAAAAATGTGAAATTTTCTTAAATCAATAAATCAAAGCTTTATTTGGTACCTTTTCAAAAAGAAAGTGAAGTGGGTTTGTTTAAAATCAAAGATTAGAACCAACAATCTCATTTTACACGTGTCCAATTTTCAAGATATTTGTTTTTTACAGATACGCGAAGCAAGAAGAGGAGGGCAACTTGGCACCTGCCGGGATTACTCCAAGAGACGGCAACTGTACTAACTACTGAACCTAATTATTCCTTCGCTTCTCGTATTAATATTACCCAAACTAAAGTTAATTTAACTTAATATTTAGCCTGCTCATTCCATGTGGAGTTTCTTACATGCTAGGCCTATGTTAACTCTTACTTTTTTTTCGCTCGATTCCTTCCTTAGATCTATATGATATGGTAGTTCCGTGTTGATAAGACTTGTCCCACATATGTGGACCTTAATACAACTTGTAAATGCTATGATGGGAATCCGATGTCGTTGGATTCGGCTATTTTTATAAAGAGCAATGCCGGGTGTGGGGAAGACAAGTATCTGGATAAATAACCACAAGAGTTTATACAAACACCTAATGTACAACCTTAATCGTACGGCAGCTATAATCTTATAATCCGACTTGTTCCGACATATTTTCATATTAAAAACGTAACTTTGCAAAAGAGAATGACGATAGGTTTCAAACTGAGAGTCTAGTTTGCTTAGCATCGACAGAAAAACAGACAAACAGACACTACAACCTACGAATATAGCTATATTGACTTGTCGTAAATAGTGTGTAAATTAAAAGTGGTTGTCTTTTGAAGTCGGTTTATTCAATGTTTTATTCAATTCAGACAGAGCTTACAATTCTAATTTAGCATTATTATGTATGTACTTATGCATATATGTTTACATTAAAGTGTTTAGCTAAAAACTTCTCGTACATTATGTTCCTAATTCTTATTAAAATACTGACACTTTTCCAACATAATATTCTTTCTGTTTTTTCTGATTAAATTCTATAATTTTTCTAGATCTCTTGTAAGCGTTTTCTAATTTAAATCTAGATTTCGTTGCGCAATCTTATATAAGTGTAATGTGGTTCTATTTTATCTATTCTATTAAAATGCTTATGTAAGTTTGGGTTTTGCTAAGAAATAATTCACATGGACAATATGGACAATGGATCGGGTTGTATTGTAGCAATAAACAAAATATTGGAGCTCAATTAGTTTTATCAACCGCGATGTATGAACGTATGGATTAATTTAACGTTTTCTCACGTCGCTAAACAGTGAAAGTGTGCTGTAAACGTAATACCGACTATTTTCATTTATTTTTCATATGTGAATAATTATGGAATTTTTGTATTCTGTACCCATGTTCTGTAATGAACATCTTTATTGGATTGTCCATTGAAATGAAGGAATCGAATAAAGCTTTTGCGAAGCTTTTTGCGCTAATTTTTCTATACGAATGGCAACAAGGTATTTTGAAAGATCACAAATAATTGTGAGTCCATATTCGTTACCATTTTTTTAATTTGATAAAAGAATAATTATGTCGACCAGAACTTTGTCGAAAATACCCATTATCTTGAAATGTTTTCTAAGATCTTTTCGCTCGGTGCAACTTTGAGCTTTCTAATATTGTCGATACCGGCTTCTTTATCAAGCCTTTTGAAGAATTGACCTAGATCGAGAATTCCATTGGCATATAGATCGTAAATCTCAATTTTTGCTGTAATCTTATCGACCATGTTTTAATAAACATTTGAATGGTGCTAATCGCAAGGACTATACTTTTCGCACATCGTCATTCATAATGACTTGATATACGTTGGGCTTAGAAGCACATTTAAGATTATGTTGTTTTCATTCATATCTGCTGCGCAGGGTTTATTTTGTCTACTTTTTTGTCTTGTAGTGCCTGTAAGTGTTGGTATGTCATATCTTTCAACTCTTGGATGTTTATTCTTGATAACACATCTTTAATAATGATCCCTTCATGGTCTGTGATCTGTAGATCTTCAGTATATAGACACGCTTGATACAAATATTTGCCATTTATGTTTCTAATTTGAAGTCTCTAGTCTTGTGATCGACGCGTTCATATTAAAGGAACGTGCATATGTGCATATTTTGAAGTCTATCCACCTATCTAATTGTACAATGGATTCGTGTACTTACCGACCAATCAACTGAATCGTTTAACGCAAATGATGGTGATCGTCTGTGGGCTACCTTCATGTATTCCCGCAATCTTACAGGGAAACTCACATCTCTTAATTGTAATAAATAAGTATCGGGACCATATTGATAGCTAAGAAAAAACAAAAAAAAAAAAAAATTACCGTGGGTAATTATTCCAATGTTTTTATTTATAATGTTACTCACTGGCTTTCAGATTGTATAAGGCCTAACTCATAATCGGGATGCAAAAATTTAGAAACGGGTTCATCGCGTTTGCTTCTATTTCTTGGTTCCGGTAAAGGCTCGGGGGTATGTTCAGGTGTGTATGAATGACCACAAGGGTATACCATTTTAGAAGGATGTTGGAAGCAGCCACTTAGTCGACGTCTTCGGAAGTAATTTTTACAAGAAGCATTTGCATACCAGTCTCTAAAGTGACCATAGTAATTTTTCAACCGATCAGTTCCAATTTCGAAATCGTCAAGGGAGTCTGGACCATCCAGCATGAAGAACCAAGGATGCTTTAATGCTGTTTTAACATCCATACGTTCTTCGGGACTGTAAACAAGTAGCCGGCTTATAAAGTCGCGACCATCTTCAGAAATGTGTGTCCATATATTATCTTTGAAATCCCAGCGACCTTCGCGAATATTTGTTAATGTTTCCCTATCGTCAACTCCTTGAAACGGATTTCTGCCACTAAGCAGTATGTAAGTGATTAAACCAACTGACCACATATCGTGTGAGAAGCTTACACCTTCTTTATTAACAACTTCCGGAGAAACGAATTCCGGCATTCCGTAATCCAATGTTGATAAATTATGTTTATTTATTTTTCGGGATAAACCAAAATCTGAAACTTTTATATAATCACTGCCAACAACTGAAATTAACAAATCTTTAATCTGAAATAAATAAAAAAAGAATAGTATAAATCATATTTTATTTTTATTTTTAGATTTAAAGCATATTTACCGTCAAGCCCATGTGAGCAACTCCCAAATCATGCATATGCTCCAGGCCCCATAAAGCTTGGCGTATGTAATTAGCAATAACTCGCTCTGTATAATAATTCCGCTTAAGTAAATTATCCTTAACAAGTTCCCCTCCAGCAGCTAGTTCCGTTATTAGTGTGACACATCGATCATTTTCATACGCATCATAAGGACGTATCAAATTTTTATGATTAAACATGTTCATCATATCGAGTTCATTCAACATGAATGGTCGGAGTTCTGGCTTTCCATGCATTATTTTCGCTGCATAATTATTTCCTGTCGCGCGTTCAACGGCATGATAAGTTATTCCTTGAGTTCCACGGCCGAGCTCATCGCCAATATCATATTTGTCTTCATATCGTAATTGCTTTGATCGAACATATGGATGCCTTCCATAGGTCTTATAAATATACTGGTCTTCATTTTCTTCTATATGCACAGTCACAGAGGTACTAATAGAGCCAGCTACATTTCTTGCGCTAACTGAGTATAAGCCGCCATCTTTAATTATTGAGTCATGTATTGATAGTATGTATACATCGGGGTCATAGGAGTGCATCTAAATCAAAATATTTTTTTAGCAATGTTCGTTTTAGAGAATGATTTTTTAATTTAATTTAACTATCTTGAGTATGTTAATATATATACCTTTATACGGGAAGAATCAGCTAAAAGTTTCCAATCTTTATACCAACGAACTTCTGGAATTGGAATTCCAGTTATTCTAGCTTCAATACGTCCATTTTTCCGAGCCATTATAAACGTTTCATCAGGTCTTTTTGTAAATCGTGGGTACTCAGCGATTTCAAGTCGTACTCGTTGTCTTGCCTCACCATGTTCATTAGTAGCGACTGCTTCATACCACCCAACATCTCGATCTAACATGCTATGCGCATATAAATATTTAAATTATTTATTAGTAAAAAGTAAATGTAACAGTAGAAGAAACAGTAACCCGACTATGAAAAAACTTCTTGTTCGTGCCTCAGCACTGGTGCAACAAAGAGGCGAACTCCCTTTTATATATACAACTACATATACACACACATGCACACAAACCACAAGCTTTTAACCTCTTACAGAAGTTTAATAAATAGTTTATCAGTATACCTCGGATGCCATCGCTCTTTTCTAATGCCAACTATTTTTTTCTTAAAATTTTGTATATTTCTTTTCGATTCACTCTCCGTTCGTAAAAAGTTTCATGTGAGTTATATTATTATTAGAAATGCGTTGGAAGTCGATCGGATGAATAACAAAATATACATTTTCCGGCTACCTGTCCAAACTAGTGCAAAAACTATCCGCCCGTTTTTCTAAAACACCAAAAATCGTGGAAACTTTATTCATTCGTTAATAAACGGTTTGATAATGACCATAAAGCCGAAAAGACATAGTTATCAGGAAGTTTGAAAATAATTTGAAGCTAATCAAAATATACTTGTATCTCGATCAAAATACCTTTCACATATATTTTATACCTATTTTTTGTGCGAACTGCTTTCGTGCATAAGCTGTAATCTAAGAATTCGTTGTTTTCTAATTTCCTTTTAATCAATACTGTATCTTCTCTGCTTTCAGGCGCTTGTTGATGTTTCGTACCCTCTCAATAATCTGACTTATTATTGCCTCGCAAGGGGTATTACAATTTCGTCGTGAAATGTATAACCCATAGAAGGCGACATCTCCGACCCCATGAAGTATAATAGTCGATATAGCTCATTCTGTTGCACGCAGTACATATGTCGGAACCAGCTGGTTCGGAACACTATATAATATAGCTGTTTTCATAAGTTCTTGTATGTTTTTTTCAGTTTTTCTTGGTAACTTGACCAAACTCGTCATTTGTAATAATCACTATGTTCCCTACACTTATGCAAAATTTTTTTTACATCGGACCACTATATTATTTAGCTGCCATAGGAAAGATCGGTCAAAAAGTATGTTCTTATATTTTTTGTTTATCAAGATATTTTCACTAAACTAAGCTTTTAGTGCTTAACTATGCTCCTCATATATATGACAAAGCCATAGGAACTATCGGTCGAAAGTTAAGTTGTATGAAAACTTAACTATTTTCCCTGTGCTTCTTAGATACGGGCAAAGCACTATCAGCATTAGGTAAAGGTTAATTTTGCAAGGGTATTAAATCGTCGGCTTGCCGAAGATAGTCCTTCTTTCTCGATCTTATTAAATACACTACAGCCAGAACACGAACAATATTCGCTAATATGAACGGAAGCCCTGTAGTGGCTTCCTAACCTATATCTCTTCCAATCTCACACATCTTTCTTTCAAAACCTCGGTAAAATCTATAAAGGTCGTAAAAGTCGCTTGTCATGGCGCTGGGGCTATACCATGGTCGACTTCCATAGTACCAGTCCATCGGACCCATTATCCTCGCCTGTTCGAGCAAAGCTGGCTTTCATGAATTGACAATGATTGCCTGAACACTGTCGAGTACATCCAACTTGTGTAAAACCAATCGACCAACCCCGAGCGCTCAATCGATTGCAATCACTCCACCTGCGGTTAGTAGCTCAGGCACAAGCCTACCTGCTGCCGAAGTCTAAATATAATTTGACAAAGAATTTACACCTTTGATTCTTCGGACGGGAGGTACCAAGCAATCAGGTATTCAACGAGCTATTAGATGTCCTCGTCATCGATGCCAGCCAACCCGAAGCCTAGCACCAACGCCTTGCGGTTTTCCTTAAACTATTAGCTTTGATAGTGTAGCCGCCACTTAGATCACAACATTGAAAGCTACATACGTACTGGTATCATCAGCATATATGGCAACACTATTATCGGTCGTAAGCCTACTGCCACTGAGTAACAAATATACAGAGATATGTATGTTATAGACATGTAACCATAGGATTCTCATTGGAAGACATTGGGAATTTCCTTATAACAGCTTTATCAAATCGAAATTTAATAGGGCTTTAAAAAAATGTGAAAATCGGTAAACAGCATTATTTGATTCGGGCAGTGACATTTGTACCATCAGTAAAAGTATTTATACATAGTTTTATGCTTTGGGATCAGAGCTAAAAAAATTAATCGGTATAGGAGGAAAGAGAATTCATACGCTAGGTTCGCTCAAAGTTTATACCAGTTTAGGCAGGGTACCAGTAAACATATGCTTGCATGTGGTGCGTAATAAAGATACCGTATACAATACGAATTCTGCTCTTTGAGACCAGTGATAGACGGCGGCACCCCTATTTTATACACGGTCGATATAATTGTCCCATCGCAAGATGTGCAAGACTCATTTGATAAGTTGCAAAAGGCTTGCACAGATTTTAGGACTGCGAATAAGATGAGAAAAGTGTCACGTCTTGGGGAGAAAGGTCAGTTAGGATATATATCGATGATTCAACCATACAACATTAAAAGAGAGGAATATGGCTGCCGATAGTTTTTCAGTTCCGCGAGATAGAAAAAGTATTCAACGTTATATGGGTACATTTTCCTATCGCCGTAGATTTCTGAAAGACTTCGCCGTCATTGCTAGAAAATTGACGACTGTGCTGAGAAACGACATTAATTTTAAAATAGGAGCAGAAGAGCTTGCATTGTTTTATCAGATGAAATTGTGTTTCAATAGATCTCTCATTCCGAAGTTGTTTGACCAAAAGACTGCTACAGAGGTGCATTGCGATGCAAGTATGATCGGGTTAGTAGCAATTTTTCGCACGAGGAAACGGCCTAGGAATTGTACATTACTATCTAAACTTGGTACAACAAATCCTAAAGCACGGTATAAGCATGTAAGAAAGGTTCAACAATTTATAAGCGATTCTCCTTTGAGAATCACTTTATTAATTAATTAAGATATTAATGGGAATGAATATATGAACTAAGTACGAGAAAAAAAATGGAAAAACTCTTTGGGGAAGGGTATTTGTTAGAGCTGCAGGAGGCAAAAGACGAGATTCGTTGAAAAGCTTACGACAACATAGCTTTGATACAAGAGGAAAATGGGAAAAAATTCAACAAATCCAGGAAGCCTGAATTTGAATATAATTTCTATAACTGTTGATAACAGAAGCATACGATAGAGAATAGATTCTGTCACGTGCGTGTGATCTCGTTGAGAATAATAAGAAACGAGAAAGAAGGAATATCTTCGGCACGCCGAAGTTTTAATACCCTTGCAGACCGAACCTTTTCATAAATCTCATAATTATTTGCTCTTATCTAAGAAGCACAGGGAAAATAGTTAATGCCGAGTAGTAATCATATCTTGATTGAGTAAGTTTTTACATATACATATACATATACATATACATATACATATACATATACATATACATATACATATACATATACATATACATATACATATACATATACATATACATATACATATACATATACATATACATATACATATACATATACATATACATATACATATACATATACATATACATATACATATACATATACATATACATATACATATACATATACATATACATATACATATACATATACATATACATATACATATACATATACATATACATATACATATACATATACATATACATATACAAATTAAATCGATTTGCTGGTCCAGTGATATTTAGGACGATTATGGTGGAGAGTTTGACTTCACTCTCTTTGCTAATCACTGGCCTTGTGGCTCAGCAATGTTTTTGTAATATATAACAAATGATATTTACGGCAGCGTGCCGGAGTAGTGCAAGTTTATTCTTAAACGTCAAATACAAAACTAAAAACTTAATGCACAGAAAATTTTACTTAAGCTAAGCCAAAATCGCATCACGCCACAATGTCATGGTCGGCAAGCCGACTCAGCAAAATCTTAGGCAATAACGGAAACTCTTGCAGCAAAACAAAAGTGTCCGGTTACCACCGCTGACCATTGCAGCTATTGCGCGCTGATACAAAGTATGCAGTGTCGCAATTGCGGGGGCTGTTCCTTAACTTATGAAGCACGCGATAGCGAGGGCTGATTATAACTTATGAAATATCCTATATTAAGTGCTATGTGTTAACTTACATATACATATACATATACATATACATATACATATACATATACATATACATATACATATACATATACATATACATATAGAAATCACATCCGTTAATAAATAAAAATACTTACCTGTTAATGAATAGAGTAGCCTGCCCATTGCGAGTGTAGCTCTGATCAAATCTACCACCAGATTCTATTTGAATGTTGTTAAAATAATAGGTCATCTTTGGCTTAGGATAACCATACACAAACCACATCAGTTCAGTATTATGTCCTTTGACTCCATAGGATATATCATTTTCGCGAAGTAAAAATCTGAAAAAAAAAATTAATCTTACATTAATGGCTAATACATTAGGAAAAATGAAAGATTTAAAAATAAAAAACATAAAACCAAATAGTTCAGGTATCTTCGGCGCACTAAATATTTATCTTGAAGATACAATTTTCTAAGAATTGCCATAGAGTCTTGGAGCTATGTATGAATACTGAAGCTCGTAATTACTGAGTTAGATAAAAATTTCTTCGAAAACAGATAATTTTGGTATACTAGTAAATGCGAGTTCGGTAAGATATATTAAGAAGAAAAAAACAACAGATCAGTCAACGGCAGCCATTTAATAAAGTGGTGTGATCTTTAAAGAATTTTGGATATTTGTAAAAAATTTAGAAGCTGGAAAAAACATATCCAGTTTACGACCGGCGATCCATCCTGTCAGCACCCCCACTCGGCATCCACGTAGCCCACAAAAGCCTGCTGACATTCTTTCTAATGCAGTTTCAAGCTTAATGTTGATACCGGATACCGTAGAGCATTTTTGATGCATGCCAAATGCTCGTTCCCTATTGTACTGTGCTAGCTACTCGTTCAGTCGTTCATGAACGATGTATTCTGCTCATCAGTTCCGCCGTTCATGAACAATACATTCGTTTGAAATATTTAGTTGCTAATGAACAAACAAGTAAGAGGTTCTAGTCGGCAGTTTCCGACAAGGGGATACCCTGAACCCGCGCTATGCGCTCGTTTGTAGTAAAACAGATAAATTAAAAAAAAAAAGTTCCTTGGGCAGGGTTCGAACTACTTGCCGCTGTAAGAGCTAGAGACTTTAAATTTTAGCTACAGCTACAGGTCCTCCTAGTCCATTCACTGATCGAGATTGTTTCCGATAATCGATAACTTACTTCGTTTCCAAGCAATCGATAAAAATCGATATCGATATTCTGTTTTTTGGGCAATTTTGGTAAATAATAAAAGCTAGAGTCACCAAACTTCACATATACTTAGCTTCTAAAATAGAATATATATATGCATTTGATGTTGTAAGAAGAGGGTTCAGGTTATCCCCTAGTCGGGAGCTCCCGACTAGAACCTCTTACTTGTTGAAACAGAAAGCATGAAAAATAACTGAACAGAAAATAAAGTTCGTGTGCAACTGAATAGCCAAGCAAAATCGTTAATGATTGACTGCATAACTGAACGAGTAAACTAAATGACCGATATAGTTCTTGACTAAAAGATGAATGAATGAACTAGTTTTACAAAATTTTGGTATCCTGATAGGCGGCGGTGGCATTCCATGCCTTGCCTATGCAGCATATCGTATGTATTGCATCTGACAAAAGGTCGTTTCACCCACATTTTATATTCGCGTTTGGACATCCATGCCTAGGAACAACTGGAAATGTCGTTTTTCCACAAATTCAAATAACTTCGATATCTCTGATTTTGACAAGCTATGAAAAATAGAGCTACATAGACCAGTATCATAGCGCGACTGTCATTCTTATGCAGGTACAAGCAGGGTCCGTTTTCACAAGCAAAAAGCACAATCTGTCACAGAACTCTATAGAGCTTGCAGGTTGAGCTTGGGTCGTCTACTCTTTCCAGTCCAAATTCATTTGGGACTTCCTGGTCCCAAACATGGTACCTTATCTGTCAGGTTTTACGTGACTTCGGTGACAGGTGACTTCGTCGTCTGAGCAACTGTCATTATTTAAGTCGTTGTTGGCTTTGTCGTATGAGCTATCTGCCTGTGTTCGATTGACCCGTTGGTTCAGTCGGCAAATCAAACATAATAGCTCCAGTATCGCGTATTTCACTGCTTATTGCTCATCGAACAGTACATCTCTCTTTTCGACCACTTGTCCATAATTCGGATTATGCAGACGATATCCTTTTGAATTTCAGGCATATCTGACCATTCGGTAATCTTGTCCCTTGGCACTGAATTTGCTTTGCCGCTTATTCCAAAGCTACTGCAAAAAGAGGGTTTTTACCATTCCATGCTTCCATGGGCGTAACATGGGTAAGCGCACTCGTGATCGGTGGTAAACCGTTGTGGCTATCGCCGCCGCCCATAAAGACTGCTTTAAGCGAAAATGTACTAGTTGGCAAAGTGTTATTTTAACCACGCCTTTCAGTTGGTATCGCCATCCATTCCGAACCTTTTTGTTCTACTGCGCCTATTCATGTTGAAATTGCCTCAGCTAAAGTTACTATCCCTACTGGTGCTACACACATCACCTGCTCATATATGCCACCTTCTTTTGACATTCAAGATTACTCGAATCAAATGACATGTATTGAAAAAGTTTCTAGTTTGTCTTGGTCAGTACTCACCGCCATTTACCTTGTACCATCAGCCCAGCATTACTTTACTGATTACATGCTACATTTTTTTGGTGTTTCAAATCAATTACATTTTTAATTATACCCTGAACCCATTAAAAATGGGTATAAGGGTATATTGTATTTGTGCAAAATCCAAATGTATGTAACAGGCAGAAGGAAGCATCTCCGACCCCATAAAGTATATATATTCTTGATCAGCATCAATAGCCGAGTCGATCTAGCCATGTCCGTCTGTCTGTCCGTCCGTCCGTATGTATGAGTCAAAGGATCTCAGAACCTATAAGAGCTAGAGACTTGAAATTTTAGATGTAGATGCTCCTAGATCCCGCGCAGATCGAGTTTGTTTCCGATAATCGATAACTTACTCCGCTTCCAAGCAATCGATAAAAATAGGTATCGACGTCCTGTTTTTTTTTTTTAGCAAATTGGGTAAATAATTTTCTCTTAGCGTCACTGACAAAATTAGCTGTGAAAAGGGGTATAGATTGCCGGACGGACAAATAAAACACCTCCATCGGTCGGTGATGCCGTTAGTAAATTGTGTATTCTAACTAGGCTTTTAGCAACGTATTTACAAAATGTGATTTTGTTTTCTATTAATAAATAAATAAGCATTCTATCAGTATTTAATATAATACAGTTCCAAACGTCCGCGTGGTGGCGGTATACACTATAAGTTAACCTAACAGCAAATACAATGCAAATAATTCTGATTTTCTTACTGATAAAAGCTTTGTTTTTTTACTTCACCATTTATATCATATGCATAGTGGTTGGGACTACACCGATTTGTAACAGTCAGGTTAGCGTAAGTCACTGTAGTTAAAGATAAGAGATTTCATAAAAGGAGGCATTCCCGACCAAAAAATGTGTACTCTTGCTTGAGAGGAATCAACTTAGTATTGCAAATGGATGCTCTTGGTGAAAATTATGTATTATTTTTACTATAATATGCAACGCTGCTGTTATAGACTTTATTACATTCGTAATATATTATTTATATTGTAACAAAGTAACTTACTGAGGAGGTTGGGCCAATCCGTCGTGTGGTGGCCGTTCAATATCAAAGTCCTTAGGGAAGTAAGGTGAAGTATCTGGTCTGAAGTCAGTACCCGGAGGCAAATAGGTGTATGTCTTCGGAGGATCTGGTATAAGATTATGCCTAGCGAATGAAACGATTTTAGCAGTATACTAAACATAAAATTATTATATATTTACCTAAATGTTTGAGTGTACGGACTAGGGTCGCTTACGCCAAATTTGTTTTCTACGCGTATTCTAAACTTATAATCCCTAAACGGTTCAAGGTTTTTAATATCACATGCACAACTACGGATTCCAGTTCTTATTGTATGCCAATCACCATCTGGTAAGTCGAGTCTTTCGACCTATTTGATCAAAAATAAGTTAATTAATTAAGCACTCGTAATATAAGTTGATGTATATAACAACTTACCTGATATGTGACAGGATATCGAGGGGTTAATGGTACCGACGGTTTCCAGGATAATAAAAGACGCCGATCTGTCATTCGTGATATAATAGGACCATCCGGTAGAGGAGGTGGAGCACCGGTTTTTTTATACTGCTTAAAGTCTGTGTACTGCTCTCCCAAAGGACGTTGATGCGAATCTATGACTATAAAAATTAAAAAATAAAATGAACCATTAAATATATTTGTGATTTCGTATCTTTTAGTACTTAATTTACTGTCAAAAAGATAAGCCACAAAGAAAATGTTCAATAAAAATAAGCTAAATAGCTATGAAAAGATAGTTAGAGTACCCAGATATCCTTAGCCTGGCTTCGACTTGCCCTAAAACACATGAACAAAATCTTGAACGGCCGTCGACTTCCAGTCGGCCGGATGTGTTAAGTCCTCCGTGATAAGGGCCGTTCTTGTTTTTTTTTTCAGATTCTCAATAATAATCAGCATATCTAAGCCTTTGCAGGTCAGCAGAGACAAATTTTGTGATGTCCGGTGATGCAGGTTGTATTCAGAGGATGTTCCTCATGTTCCAGATAAAGAATCATTAATATTGACTTCACAATCAAACTTCTACCGGCCTAATATGACTGGGACGAGAGTTAAAATACGCACAGCCACCGAAATGTAGTTGTTGTCCAAATTCGACTCAAGGTAGTGAAGTTTCCGATTAGCAGAATTTGACACGGTAGTCTATGGCATTTTTGTTTTCAGCTAACTGAGGTTAGGTATCACTGTGTTGTTCAGGAAGCAGATTGATATTTTTACAGTCAAAATGAAGGTTACGATATTTAATCAGAAAATGTAAAAAATAACGATCTTTTAAAACATTGGCACACACCGACATTCAATCAAATTACGGGCTTAATTTTAATTAATTAATTTGGTGGGAATAACTATAAAATGAAAGATACTTAATATATATATACTAATCTCTAAGCTACATGACAAGTTACTCAAGTTACACAACTTACGAGACTTCCTGAAAAGGATTCCGATATCAATTCTTATCGATTACTTGGAAACGGGATCGATTATCGGAAAGAAACTCGTACTGCTCAGGCACTTCGAGGACCTATATTCCAAATTTGAAGTCTCTAGCTCTTATTAGGTTCTGAGATCCTTGCGTTCATACATACCGACGAACGGATAGACAAGCGGTAATGGCTTTCACTTAAATAAGTATTCAAGATTGTGTTAAAGGGAGCACGACGCTCTAATAAAAATAACATTTTTTTTGCACATCGCATTTAATTCTCTTTTATACATTTCAAAAATTATCTATCAAGCAATCAAGAAAATGGCAATATTAACTCATACAGAAAACAATATTAAAATTGTACTTCAACATCACATTCTAAAACAAACTGTTTTTCTTAAAAAAGGCTTATGAAGACCCACTGCAACATCAAGAAACAATGAGCTATCTTCGGCACGCCGAAGTTTTAATACTCTTGCAGACCCACCAATTACAATTTACATGTTACAACTTAATTATCGACCGATTGTTCCTATGTCAGCTATATGATATAGTGGTCCAATCCAGACGGTTCTGACATACCGACATTGCGACATGGTATGTACTGCGTGCATTAGAAAAAAAGGTCTTCTTCTGTAAAGTTTCATGATGATAGCTTTAAAACTGAGAGACTAATTGGCATAGAAATAGGCAGATGGACAGACGGACATTGCTATATCGACTCGGCTGTTGATGCTGATCAAGAATATATCCTAACTTTTTCTGGAATTTTTTTTAAGCACCGGCGTGTAAAAATTTATAATTGCGATCCGTATGGGTAGGTTGATGTCGAAATGCGGCTGTTTATCCAGCAGATGACCGACTGCAAATATAAAGCCCACAATTCCGGTCACGCAGCAGCTATATCTTTTTTACTCTCTAGCTACAGCAGATCTTCTGTGGGATCAGCAGATCTTCTCCGGGCATTGCCGATCTGTCAGCAGACCTTTTTTAAGGTGAACTGATAGTGTACCCGCTTGTGTACTTGAGTATTCTGCTGCAGCACTTTGTAACCATCTTTTGTGATGTCTGTTAACACTTTATCTTTCCCTGCCATATCGTGTAAAATTTTTCTCCATAAAAAGGGAGTAAATCTGATGTTGGAAACTATTCCCAAAGCCTTTTATGAGAATCGTTTTATCAAAACTGAAATATTTATGCGTCTCTATTATATCAGCATAATAGTATGGGTTCGTGAAGTTTAGAACATTTTTGGTTTTATATCCTTAGTCATTAATGGTATTAAGAAATTAATTGAGACTATCATCATTTATCAGGTTTTAGTAATCCTTCCAATTTAGCTTTCAATCCTTCTTCCTATCAAAATTATGCCTTTTCGCTTTCGCAGCCAATATTCGCAGAGTACTTAAGTAAATTGAGTACTTGAGTAATTCAAAAAGTGCTTTTTTTCAGCAATTTATATTCGAAATATACCTGGGTCACTTCTGGCTTTTCATCTAAAACCTTTCCTCAATATTGCCTTACTCTTGAGTACTATTGTATGTCTATGATGTAAATAATGCCTGTCATTATTAGTGGTTATCGGAACTGTTGCAAGGGTAAGGTAATGGATTTCTTCAGAAAGAGAAACCCAAATGGTTTCTTATACACTTGACAGCTTACCTCTGTTGAATGTGCTAATAGTACCGGTAAGGAAGTACTTTAATTTGACTATCGTGTTACGACTGTCGCCAGTAAGCCTATTATTATTATGCGATGGCAACAGTTAAGAACGACCTTTTATTAAGTATGCCTGATGTGTCTGGTCCCCACAATATGGCATTGGATTATTATACAAATCTTGTTATTTGCCCTTCCTCGATGAAGCAGGGATGATTGTGTGCTGTTGAGGCAATATTTTCAGTAAAATACTATTTTAATTATTCACAGAATTATTCTTTGTCAAATATAATTGTCTGGCTCTACTAGATTAACGTGTGATTGCCCAACTTACTATTCCTCTTATACACCTTTCCGGGACCTCTGCAAAGATTACATCAAGCATCACAGTATATTATAATCGGAGTGTTCTCTTCCTCGTATAAATTCTTCTATTCTAGACAATTAAGCTAGTATATTAAGTTTCACGACAGCGTTGGATGAGAGTTTGGATGCAGCACGTTGCAATGCAGGGCGTTGCATAGGTGGAAGAGTTACACATGCAGCCCATCAAATAATCTGCACTCGTTTGGTATGTATTTTTATTTTAAACATTTGAAGCTGCATAAGATGTTGCCCTCCATTCGTATCTCATTTACTTTTTTGGCACGTAATCTAGAAACGCATGAAAGTTCCACTTATGTCTGTATAGGCCATACTACATGGCGCGCAACAGCCACACGCGCTCAATCAAAGTTGCGAAGGCTTACCATAACATGAAGTAAATGCCGCTCTAATAGATAAAGTGTTCTAAGTCAGAGCCAAAGACACAGCACACCCGCGTCGCTTGCGCTAGAACTAAAACCTCATCGCTACCCTCATACTACACCGAAATGAAATAAAAACAAAAATTTGATACAATTCAAATCAGCGTTGTTAACAAATAAAAAGTGGATGGGATCGCGAATGCATAATTGCAATTTAATATTTTTTATTTAGTTTTCTGTAGAGGTCATCAGGAGTTTAATTACCAATAAGCTTCGCGGATTGGATCAAGTTTATCAACTTTATATGAGAGACCCATTTATAATGTAGCTTCCCATATGCCGTATAGTGACTAAATAAATGTTGTAGAATTCAAGTCTGTGTTTTCCCCATTTTTTCGTCATATATTCTATTTTAATTATACTTAATATACATACACTTACCATCATAAAGTAATTCGGCATTACAGACTTCCTCGCCATAAGGGTTGTATATTCGACAGGAATAGCGTCCTACGTCAGCTTCCGTAACATTTTTGATAGTTAAACGTAAAAGACCATTTGATTCTTTTTCAGCTTCAATTTTTTCAGATGGAAACAGTTTTTGATCATTTTTAAACCATTCCACCTCTGGTTCCGGATAACCTGCTGCACAAGCAGTAAACTTCGCTGTCATACCTTCGTAGACATCACAATCTCCAATTTTCTTAAGAAATACTGGTGCTTCAGACCGCATGTGCTTTTTACTAGAAACAAAAATATGAAGTTTAGATCTTTGAGAAATATTCATCAATAATAAGCAGCATAATATACTTACAGTTCATTAACAACTTCTAAGCGACCTTGGGTAATATCTTTACCTTCTTTATTGGAGGCAATACATTTATATTCACCTATATCAGTCGCTTGACAATTATTGACTATAAGTAGGTGATGATCTCCATCATTTTTAATAGCGTATTTTTCCGATATCTCTATTGGCTTATTTTCAAAGAACCATGTAAGTTCTGGATATGGGACACCAGAAACAGTTACTGGAATTTTGGCGTTATTTCCAAAAACTTGTTGTTGATCTGATATTTTTTGGGTAAATATTGGTGGCTTGTAAACTTTTCTTACATTTGCATTACATAAAGATGAATCCTCTCCTAAGGGGTTAGCTAACAGACAAGAGTAATTGCCCGAGTCTGAGGCTTTTACTGGTTTTATATTTAGACCAACGTGTTTGCCATCGCAAGTCATTAACAAGCGCTCGCTTGGGCTTAAAAGAACTCCATCCTTGGACCACATTACCTCTGGCATTGGATTTGCTATAAACGGTGCAGATAATATGAGCTCTTCCCCTTCGTCTGCATTCACATCCCTTAGACCTGAAACGAATTGTGGGGCTTCTTCTGTAGATGTTTCGTCTGTTTTTGGAGAAATATACAGTTTTGCCTTAGAGGAGGTTGATCCTTCTGAGTTTTTAGCAATAATTTCATATAATCCGGAATCTGATGGAACAGTTTTATCTAAAACTAAGCTGAAAGTACTGTCAGGGTTTTCCATAATAGAAATATGTCCGTTTTCAGGCAATATTTCATGACCGTTATGAAACCATTGAAGATTTGGTTTTGGGCTTCCTATAACCTTTACATCCATTTTGACAGGAAATCCTTCAACACTTGCTGCATCTTGAAGCTCGGAAATGAATGCAGGCTTGGATTCTTTAGCAACTATTTCCACTTTTGCAGCGCCTTCTTCTTCGCCTTCCTTATTAATAATTATACATTTATATATTCCAGCATCGTTTGCATCGACTGAATCAATACTGGATTTAAATTGAATATGTAAATAAAATAAATAAATAAATAAATAATTTATTCGAAGCAGCTTACCTCAAACCGATTTGTCCATTGGGATTATTAATAAAATTAATGTTTGAGCTAGGGCGTAGAAGCATACCATCCTTATACCACTTTACTTCGGGGGCAGGAAAGCCGATGACTTGAGAGGTTAATTTCAATGGTTCTCCAACAATGATAGACTGATTTTCAAGGGGCTTCAGGAATTTCGGATGCATTTCTTTTGCTGTAAGAGGAAACTAAAGTTATTACAATGTTAATTTTTTTAACGGGAGCACTCTTAGTAAGAGTGCAACCTTGCTTTTTGATTCATTGACCACGTAACAAAAACAATATTTTATATCGTTAAGTATTTTTTTTTTATTTGTAAAGATTCTTTTAAATTCAGTTCAACTCTATCGCATCGCATAGTTTTAAACTATACTTGAACCCCGACATCTACATTTCTATGTGTGCTTGTGCCGATTCATGCCGATCAAAACATTTGTCAAGAACCAGATGCAATGAATGGGCAAATAACGATTTGCAATATCTTAGAATCACTTGCACATGCCGTACACTTATTCCAAGGCTCTCATTTGTATGGCCTTGTCCAGTCAGACAACATAAGAAAAATCTGATTTTTAAATTTTTAAAGGTCCTCTTATGGTTTGTTGAATTCTATGAAAACCTTTAACTTAAAATTTAAAAAACAAAGGCTGTATTTCTGCAAGGGTGTTTAATCGTCGCATGTCATTAAATAATCTAATCTTTAGGAATTGAAGTTTATGGTTTATAGTGACATTTGAGCTAAGCCCAAAGTAAAAGATAACTTAATTTTGAAGAATTGAACAATTTATGGTGATATTTTTGTTGTACAAATTTATATTTATTTTATTATTAACAAGTTCACAACTACCTAATATTGGCAGCTTGAGCTAATATTAGCAAAAATTGAACAAAATTGAACAAGACTTGCGATGCGATGCGCTCAAAGTAATTTTTGGCATGTTACGGATTACGTCTCCTACTTTCGGAACTCTTAGGCCTCTCTTGATGTTCCTAGTACCCAAATACCAACGATCTTTGCGTAACCTTTCAAGAATCGTACTTAGTGCGGCTTTTATTTTGTTGAGGTGGCTTTCGGTGAGCTTTCTGTCAAAATGACTTCGACGTATTGGTGTCATTATAGCTAACCTCTGTGAAAGATAGCCAAACTTTAAGCATATTTAATGCAATCACACGTTTTTATTAATATCTTATGCATTTCTTAATCAATTGATGAAATTTTCAACAGTAGATCTTGTGGTACTATAAAATATTCATTTATTCTTAAAGGGATAAGTGACTTAAATTTGTGTGTAGTTCAAATTGTTAGATATGTTTGATGCAGAAGGACGGACAAGGCTAGATCAACTTGGCTTTTGTTGCTGATCAAGAATATATTGTAGTGCGTATATGCCCGTACAGAATACCCTGTATTCAAATATAAAGTATGCAGCACTTTGTTGCATACAATAACAACAATAACGTAAACAAGCCCAGAGCCAGCTAATGTATTGGCTCGGTCTCAGATTACGCAGCGCGGTTCACTAGCCTCACTAGCTGACCGTTTATGCTTACGCTGCAGATCCCACGCTCCGTCTGAGCACATTGCATGAGCAACATATATGCTCACTAACACAGGCATATGCAAGCTACTCACTCTCCCTCTCTTTGTAGCTGTTAACCATTAACAGCATAAGAACATATATGTATCCATAGTCTAAGCACATAACATTGACTTTGAATAAAAACATTCCGTTACCAGAACCTAACCAGCACTGACGTGCCGAAACATAATTGATAATAAAACAACAATATTACATGGCGACCGTGACAAGTGTCACGAACATGTTAGCAGCAGCAACAACATCAATATAAATTCTACAACGGCGCGGGACAGCGGAGTGCAGCAATTAAACGAAAAATAATGTTAAACGGCGCGGGACAATGTCTGCAATGACCAACAGCGAGAGATTAAAGACAAAATTAACTGAGTGAGTACAGGGGGCATGAGCTCTAAGCTAAAAAGGCGCAGTGGCATTAAAGAGCGGATCAGGCAAAGAAAGTCTGAGATCGTAAGACTCTTATATAAGTCCCAAAACCCAATACCTTGGGACACTGCAGTCAAGCTACATGACGAACTCAAACATCTTGAGTCGTTAAGCAAAGTAAAGAGCCCCCCCTGTCCCTCAGAGAAAAAACTCATTAATCCATACACACATCGACCACAGCCACAACCAATCCCGAGAAGACAACGCGAATGCCCAGCAGACTGCGAGGGACCACTATACAGCCCACATTGCCTGGGCACATGTCAGCGGCCATCAACAAGTAAAAAATAGTACGAGAGGCAAACCGCCCTTTGTACCAACGCTGGAACAAGAAGAAGTACGAGAGGCAGACCGCCCCTTGTACCAACGCTGGAAAACACCAAGGGTGAACTGACCGACAGCGCCACAGAGGGCGCACAACAAAAAAAAAATTATTATAATTATAATTATCATTAAAAAAAAAAAAATTTGTAAACCTATTGTAATGCCCGACGACAATTGAGTCGACCGGCAAGACGTTTGGCCCGTAAAGCCATTCGAAATACTAGGCAGGAAAACATGTAAAATAACTTTTTATAATTCCAAGAATATAAAAAAAAAAATCCGATATATGTCAATAGAAACTAATGAAATAAGTAAATTTGTAAAAAATTTTGAAAATTCAGCCAAAATGGGCATTGTTGATGTAAAAACGGTAGACTCGACAGCTAATGTAATAAACAAAGTCGAAGTCGAAAACACCGACCTTAAACTAATAACAATACTTATTGTTATAATTTTTATTATAATACTAGCGCATCTATTATACAAATTATATAAGTACCACAACAGATGCATTAAGAAGCGATACCAGAGCCAGGCAAACGACCTGGATAAAATTTAAAATAAAATTACTCGTAATTAGCAACAGTAATTGATCAAAAACATTATTGAGAAAACAAACTAATTAAAATATATGGCTATTTGCTCATTAAATTTATATATATGTTTTTGCAAATTTTATTGGTTATTTTATAAATCTGTCTGCGAAGTAAAATTTTATTCTTATTTCCTGTAAACATTCAAAAATGATATAGACAAACCAAGAATTTTTTAAAAAAAAGAAATGGAATGGAGTGAATTAGCGAGAAAAATAAATAATTTCAAAGACAAATTCGAAAAATCTTATAAGTGTGTTAATATAAGGGTTGAAACGCTAATTCACCACATAAACATATTAGTGCTAAACTATAATAACATAGTTCAACTCTATTTAAGTAAAGAAAATAGGCTTACAGAGCAGCACGTAAATCAATGTAAGAAAATAATCAAATCACTTGGGACTAGAATATCGAATATCAGCACTAGGCACAACATAGTAATAGATATCCCAACAGATTTAAAATTAATGGCAACCTTTGAACCAGATCAACTAGAAGAACTGAATGAGTCTAAGCCAACACTAAATAGTGACCCTGATATTGAAGCTGATAGCGACATTGAGCCACTTGAATTAACAGAACCAAACATGGCAGTAAATCAAGTGGCCTTAGACCGCGAATATGTAAGACAGGTATCGTCTACAATTCCGGAATTTGATGGCAAAAAGCTATCACTGGCCAGATTTCTAACGGCTTTAAGACTAGTCGATCGTACTAAAGGTACACAAGAAGACTTAGCCGTAGAAGTCATAAAGTCTAAAATAATTGGCGCAATTTTGTACAAAGTACAAAATGAAACATCCATTATTGGTATTATAAATAAATTAAATACCAATATCAAAGGCGAGTCAACTGACGTTATCAAAGCTAAGTTGCTTAACATAAAGCAGAAAGGCAAGTCAGCCTCGCAATATACAGCTGAAATTGACAGTTTGCGTAAGCAACTGGAAGCAGCCTATATTGACGATGGACTAGACTTTGATAACGCAGAGAAATTTTCTACTAAAGAAACAATATCTGCCATGACAAAGAATTGCGAATACGAAAAGCTTCGTATAATATTAGAAGCAGGCAATTTCAGCAATTTCAATGATGCTATGGGTAAATATATCCAATGCAGCACTGAAATGACTGGAAGTGCCAGCACAGTATTATATCAGCGAGGCAGACATAATAGAGGCAATGATTATCGCAATAACCAAAGAGGTAGAGGCAATGGCCGCGGTAATCATAACGCAAACTATACTAACAATAGCAATGGCAGAGGACATTATAGAGGTAATACCCGTGGTAATAACCGAGAAAGGAATAATTCCAACCGAGGTAACAACCAAAACAATAACAATGGCAACTATAATGGTAATAATAATGTTCGAGTTACACAGACTAACTCGGAAAACCAACAAAACCCTTAAGATATGCACCAAGAAATACCAAAGTACACACAGTCAATCTAAACCTCAGTATCTTCATTAACATAAATAACGAAAAAACAGGTAAAGCATTTACCCTATTGCTAGATACTGGTGCAGACATATCACTATTAAAAGAACATGTTGATACATTTGAAAACATTAATTCAAACATATCAACTCAAATATCTGGAATCGGTGAAGGTTCAGTTTTTTCCAAAGGTTTAGCATTCGTAGAATTATCTACCGGAAAATATGTCATTCCACACGACTTTCACATAGTCGGACACGATTTCCCAATACCCAGCGATGGCATTATTGGTATAGACTTCTTTAAAAAGTATAATTGCCAATTAGATTTCACACAAACATGTGATTCTCTAATACTTCGGCCAAATAATTTAAACTATCCTATAAAACTACCGATAACTCACACTTGTGATAATAATGCCACAATACTTCCAGCTCGTTCTGAAGTAGTCCGTCAAATCAATATTGTTTCGCCAGAAAACAATATTTTCATTCCAAATCAAGAAATTGATAAAGGAATATTCATTGGAAATACTATTTCCAATAATCAACAGACATTTGTCCGAATTTTAAATACAACAAATTCAATAAAAATAGTACATCTTAACGACATTAAAATAGAAAAGCTAAGTGACTATGAAACAGTCCACGAAATTAGCAAAGATCGCCAAGAAACGGTGATGAAAAAACTAAAAAAGACCATTATTTCAGACACAATTAAAAGATCTCTGCACCAAGTATACAGACATATTCGGACTCGAAACCGAATCCATAACAACCAATAATTTTTATAAACAAAAACTAAGACTAAAAGATATTGAGCCAGTGTACATTAAAAACTACAGAATTCCTCATACCCATAAAGAAGAAGTTAATAATCAAGTCGAAAAACTTATCTCGGATAATATTGTAGAACCGTCTGTATCGGAATATAACAGTCCTATACTTCTTGTCCCAAAAAAGGGATTACCGGGTTCCGATACCAAGAGATGGCGATTAGTTATAGACTATCGTCAAATTAACAAAAAACTCTTGTCTGACAAATTTCCACTCCCAAGAATAGATGATATTCTTGATCAACTAGGCAGAGCAAAATATTTCTCATGCTTAGATTTAATGTCCGGTTTTCACCAAATAGAATTAATAGAAAATTCTAGAAATATAACGTCTTTTTCAACGAGCAATGGCTCCTATCGTTTTACACGATTACCATATGGTCTAAAAATAGCGCCTAATTCTTTTCAAAGAATGATGACCATCGCTTTTTCCGGATTAGAACCTTCACAAGCTTTCTTGTACATGGACGACTTAATCGTCATCGGTTGTTCCGAAAACCACATGATCAAAAACTTAACAAACGTTTTTGACTTGTGTAGGCGACACAACCTTAAATTACATCCAGAAAAATGTTCATTTTTCATGCATGAAGTGACTTTTCTAGGTCATAAGTGTACTGATCAAGGTATTTTGCCAGATGACAAAAAATATGATGTCATTGAAAAATATCCAGTCCCCACGGACGCTGATAGCGCTAGAAGATTCGTTGCATTTTGCAATTATTACAGACGTTTCATAAAAAACTTTGCAGATTATTCACGTCATATAACAAGATTATGTAAAAAGACTGTAAAGTTTGAGTGGTCCGATGAATGCCAAAAAGCGTTCGAATATTTAAAAAAAGCTCTTATGAAGCCCACTTTACTAAAATACCCAGATTTTAGCAAAGAATTTTGCATCATAACAGATGCCAGTAAACTAGCCTGTGGAGCAGTTTTGACTCAAACGTATGGAGATAAACAATTGCCCGTAGCATATGCTTCTCGTTCATTTACAAAAGGAGAAAGCAATAAAAGTACAACCGAACAAGAGTTGTCAGCAATCCACTGGGCAATAACCCATTTTCGACCATACATATATGGTCAACATTTCACTATTAAAACAGACCATAGACCATTGACATATCTGTTTTCAATGGTAAATCCAAGTTCAAAATTAACGAGAATGAGACTAGATTTAGAAGAGTATGAGTTCACTGTAGAATACCTTAAGGGAAAAGATAATTTTGTTGCAGATGCGTTATCAAGAATAACCATCAAAGAATTAAAAAGTACTAATACAAATGTCTTCAAAGTCACTACAAGACAACAAAGTAGACAAAATAAATCCTGCGCAGGAAAAGAACAAGAAATTTTGCCAAGGCAAAATCTTGATAAAGCTTCTAAGCCCAACGTATACGACGTCATTAAAAACGACGATATGCGAAAAATAGTGACCTTGCACATAACAAATATGCTATGTATTTTAAAACATGGTAAAAAGGTTGTTGCAAGAATTGAGATTAGCGATCTTTATACTAATGGAACTATCGATTTAGGTCAATTTTTCCAAAGGCTTGAAAAAGAAGCCGGTATATTAGGAATCAGCCAACTCAAAGTGGCACCGAGCGAAAAGATCTTTGAAAACATTTCAATAGATACTTTCAAAAATTTGGGCAATATATATTTAAAAAACTTAAGAGTAGCGCTACTCAAGCCGGTAACCCAAATAACTAAAGAAACAGAAAAAGAAGCAATAATGTCTACATTCCATGATGATCCTATTCAAGGTGGCCACACAGGCATTTCAAAAACGCTAGCAAAAATAAAAAGACATTACTATTGGAAAAATATGACACGTCATATAACAAAGTACATACGTAATTGTCCGAAATGTCAAAAAGCCAAAACAACAAAGCACACTAAGACACCTATGATTATAACTGAAACACTAACAAACGCTTTCGACAGGGTAATTGTTGACACTATAGGTCCATTACCAAGATCAGAGAATGGTAACGAGTATGCAGTTACACTAATTTGTGATTTAACAAAATACCTAGTTGCCATTCCGATCCCAAATAAAAATGCAAAAACTGTCGCTAAAGCAATATTGGAATCTTTTATTCTGAAGTACGGTCCAATGAAGACGTTCATAACGGACATGGGTACAGAATATAAGAATTCAATAATAACGGACATATGTAAATACCTAAAAATAGATAATATAACATCAACAGCACACCATCACCAAACAGTTGGTACTGTTGAAAGAAGTCACAGAACGTTTAATGAGTACATACGTTCCTACATATCAGTTGACAAAACTGACTGGGACACATGGCTTCAATACTTCGTTTATTGTTACAATACAACCCCATCAATGGCACATGATTATTGTCCATATGAGCTAATTTTCAGTAAAAATTCAAATATACCAAAACATTTTAATAGCATAGATCAAATAGACCCACTTTATAATGTAGAAGACTATGCTAAGGAATCAAAATATAGACTAGAATTAGCATATAAAAGAGCAAGAATTATGATAGATAAACATAAGCAGAAAAATAAAGAACTATATGATAGGAAAACACTAGACTTAAATTTGAATATAGGAGACAAAGTACTTTTAAAAAATGAAGTAGGTCATAAATTAGAAAATAAATATCTAGGACCATATACGGTAGTAAGCATAAAAGATAAAGACAATGCTATAATAACAGATACAAAAGGTAAAGAACAAAAAGTTCATAAAAATAGACTAAACATTTTTAACGAATAAAACATAAATTTTTTTATTAACCAAAAAAAAAAAAAAAATTTTTTAAGAAACACAAATTGTTACAATGAATTTTACATTTTACACTTTTAATATTTATTTGTTGGCTGGCTCGAGGTCCGTGTTTGTTAAAACAAACAATGAAAACAATTTTATTTTAATTTTCTTCCGATATATTTCGGTTGCACATCGGCAAACCGTCTTCAGGGCACTAACACCAAGATACAAAAAACAATTAACAATTATAATACAATAAATTAAACATTATTTCGAACATTTTACATACATTATTTTACACGTCTGCGTTTTTTGACGTGGAGATTGTTACTGAGGTTGTTTGGCTGTTTAAGAGGTGTCTGTACAAGTGAGCGCAATTTTCTGTGTCTGTCTTGTAGTTTAGTCGTTTGTTGGTTGGTGTGTTAATTATGTGTAGCATTTCGAATGTGTGTCGCTTGTTATAGTGTTGTTCTTGTTGTAAGATTGTTGTTTCATCAAAATTTGGTGTGTGGTTGCTTTTTATACAATGGGTCATAAGTGCTGTTTTCTGTATATTATTTTGATGTCTTAGTTTGAAGTCCGATTTATGTTGACTAATCCTTGTTTTTAGCTTCGATTTTGTTGTACCTATGTAGACACTATTGCACTTGTTGTTGTTTTCCCCGCCACATGGTATTTGGTAAACGACGTTACTTTTGTCGATCATCGGGATTTTCGACTTTATCTTGTTGAAGAATTTTTGTAATGTATTCGTCGGTTTGTGTGCTACTTTTATATCTTGTTTGTTATAACAGTCTGAGTTTGTGAGGCGTTCTGATAGTCGTGGTACATATATTAGTGATTTGTATATTTTAGCAGGTTCTGTTGACTTTTTTCTTTCGATTTGTCGTCTTTTTAATAATGTTTTGATTATATTTGAGGGGAAGTCATTTTTGGTCAAGAGTTTTTTGATTTCATGTTCAATTTCTTTGTGGTATATTGTGTCCGATATTTTCATCATTCTATTCATACAGCCTAGTGCTGTATTGATTATCATACTCTTTGGGTGGTTTGAATTGAAGTTGAGTATTCGTCCGGAGGCTATGGGTTTCCTATACCACTTTATTTTGAGTGTGTTGTCCATTCTGCTTACAATAGAGTCTAAAAATGGTAATTTCCCGTCCTTTTCTAATTCCATTGTAAATTTTATCTGTTTGTGGAAGGAATTCAATTCTTTTAGAATATTTTCCACGTCTATTTTGTTCGTTATGGCAAAAAGGTCATCTACATATTTGGTCAAGAGTCTTGGTTTTATTTTTAATTTATCTGTAATCTTGTCCAACAGTTCCTCCATTAATATATCTGCGATTACTGGGGAAGCCGGTGATCCCATTGGCATTCCTTTAAGTTGTGTGTATATTTTGTCTTCGTATTTGAAATATCTGTTTTCCTGTATGCAAAATCGAACTATGTCCATAAATAGTTGTTTCGGTATATTCGTGTGCTCTTCTAATTTGGTCCATTTTTGTCTTATTGTGTCAAGTGCTAATCTATTGGTATGCTGGGAAATAAGGATACTACGTCAAAAGATACTAATGTTTCCTCTTCTCTAATCTGGGAGTTGTTGACTCTGTCTTTAAAATCTACCGCGTTCTTGATGTTGTACCTAGAGTCCATTGTCAGATTTTTTAATATTTGTATTATATATTTGCACAGCCCGTAAGATGGAGATCCGATGGAAGAACATATTGGTCTCAGTGGTGTTCCTTCCTTGTGTATTTTTGGTAGTCAATATATCCTCGGAGGTACCGCTGTTGTTGTAGTCATCTTATTTCTTTCGTCCTTTGAAATAAGACCCATCTTGAATAATTGTGCTACGAAGGTGTTATTCTTTGTCTGTAGTCTTGATGTCGGATCCAGTCTCAGTGTTCTATACGCGCATAAGTCGTCTAAAATATTTGTCATTTTATTTTTATATTCATCCTCATCCATTGCTACGGTTTTGTTGCCCTTATCCGACGATAGAATTTTAATATTTATATTTTCTTTCAGTAATTTTCGTGTCTGTTCTACTGTGTCCAATATTGCTCGATCCTTACTGTTTTGGTTGTTCTTGGTTTTATGCTCTTTGACTAACAAAGAGAATTTTGTGCGCGCCGACTCTTGTGTTTCCTTTTCTTTTATTGTTTGCACTAGCTCCTCACCGTCTGCGATGTATTTCAAGAGAGGAAAATCTCTCTTGCTGATTGGGAGAGCGAACTTCGGCCCTTTTGCGAGTAACGCTACGACGTTTGGCGGGAATTCTATTTTTGTTTTGTTTACAAACCACTCTCTTTGAGTGTTGTTGTCCGCTAAGGCTAGGTTCCGTTGATCTCGTAACTTATCGTTTTCGTTTCTTGTCTTTTCTTGAGTGTTGTTGTTATTTTGTTTTCTATATTTCTCTCGCTCTCAAAAAACGCTTTTGCGTCATCTGTGGTCATCAGTTGTTCTATGTTTGTTTTTGCTTTTTCCATATGTTTTGTTTGTTCTTGTAATAGGTTGTGTTTGTGTTTTATAAGTAAGCTTAATATTTTGGTATGGTAAAAATGTGTGTGTCTAGTCAATGTTCTTGTTATGTCAGGGTAGGTTTTATTGTCAGTGGTCAGTATGGTCAAATGCTGTGTCAAGTTTTTGATGAAGTTAGGTATTAAATTTGATTTTCTACATTTTAACAAAAATTTTAAACTAGATTTAAGTTTAGTTAATTTTACCAGTGTTAGTTGGAATTTATTAATTGTTCTTTTCGAATCCTTGTATTTAGTTTTTATTTTTGCGTAGCTCATGTTGGTTGCTGTGCATACGGCGTGCCTTCCGTTGATATTTATTGATGGCTCTGGCGACCTTTCCATATTTTATTGAAATATGGAAAGGTCGCCAGAGCCATCAATAAATATTTTACACTTTTATATTTTACATTTTCAAATTTTACATTTTTATATTTTACATTTTAATATTATATATTTTTATATTTTTATAATTTGAAATTTTTACATTTTTATAAACCCTAAATAATTTTTTAAAAATTCATATTATTTTAATTATTTTTACTACATTTTAATATTTAATACACAAAAAAAAACCAATTTTGATCATTTAATAACTACACATTTATAATGTTACGTTATTTCTTTAAAAAGGGAGGTGTAGTGCGTATATGCCCGTACAGCAACATATATGCTCACTAACACAGGCATATGCAAGCTACTCACTCTCCCTCTCTTTGTAGCTGTTAACCATTAACAGCATAAGAACATATATGTATCCATAGTCTAAGCACATAACATTGACTTTGAATAAAAACATTCCGTTACCAGAACCTAACCAGCACTGACGTGCCGAAACATAATTGATAATAAAACAACAATATTACAATATACACTTTATGGAGTCAAAGATTCTTCCTTCTGCCTGTTAAAAACATTTACACAAAACATTTACAAATACATTTTAACAGGTTCAGCGTATTAAAATATTTAACTAATATACGTTTATAACAATCAAATAGTACATGGAACTACTGGTAGGACACCTGCAGAAATATTTGTATATCACAAGAAGCCAATTAAAAATGCACAGGAAAACTAAAAACAAAAAATTGACAGAAATAAAATTAAAAACAAGTAAGAGGTTCTAGTCGGGAGCTACCGACTAGGGGATACCCTGAACCCTCTTCGTCCAACATCAAATATATATATATATATATATATATATATATATATATATATATATATATATATATATATATATATCTATTTTAGAAGCTATATGTCAAGTTTGGTGACTCTAGCTCTTATTATTTACCAAAATTGGAGAAAGTGGAGGAAAAGCGGAGAAAGTTATCGATTATCGGAAACAAACTCGATCTGCGCGGGAACTAGAAGCATCTACATCTAAAATTCCTAGTACCTCTTATAGGTTCTGAGATCCTTGCGTTCATACATACGGACGGACGGACGGACGGACGGGCGGACGGCGGACGGCGGACAGACAGACGGACATGGTTAGATCGACTCGGCTATTGATGCTGATAAAGAATATATATACTTTATGGGGTCGGAGATGCTTCCTTCTGCCTGTTACATACATTTGGATTTTGCACAAATACAATATACCCTTATACCCATTTTTAATGGGTTCAGGGTATAAAAACGTCCCTATCTCATCATTCGCATAAAAAAAACATACATTTCATGACCCTACAATAACATAAAGTCAACAGTAAGTAAAACATCTTCTAAAGATTAAGAATAATATAAATAAGGTGCTCAGGTAAAAATAATGTCCAGTGCAGAAGGCAAAAAGGGATTTTATGGATTTCATGGGTTTAACTTTTAAATATTTATATTTAACTTTAGATGCCAACGACTTAGAAGATTTAAACAAAAATAGAAGAAACATGATAGGTAATGATTAAATTAATAAGGTAATTGATCACATTACGTATCGTTAAAAACCATTCATTATTCAAACCAACAATAAAATGTTCACACGCAAGAAATTATGGACACTATTATCATTGTTCTCATACTTATATCCACTGTTTATTAATACATACGAATTTGAGGTCGAAACTCGATCAAGAAAAGAAGGCAAAGTTAGTCATTTGGATGGTCAGACATATCAAAATAGCACCACAAGGGATATTATTCAAGTATCAAATAATCGCCACTTGAGAGTGAACCGATGTTGCCTGTCAACACATAAACCAAATGCGTCACATCGCGTGTACAAAATACGCCACAGAAATACAAATTGTGAACAAAACGCACTCTTTTTTCCAAATAAAACATGCACTCATTCTCCCACGAACATACATATATTCTCTCATAAGATTAATTGATATGTAAGCATATTTAGGCTTGCATTCGTAAGAAGAATTCGGAGCCAGGAAGTCGGGAAGAAGGTTATACTAAAATGCACGCTAGAATAAATCTTTAAATTTTTAAAGTTTTAATATAAAACTGCATTCAAATATATATATATACTAGCGGGTATTTCCCGGCTTTGCATGTGGAAAGTTTATTTTTCCACTAAGTACAAGCCTGCGGAAAGGTGAAAACAAGTCTACCCATCTTGATTTCAACTTCTATTTAAAAATATGTTTAAAGTGCATCGAATATAGAACCAAGTTTCGGAATCATGGGTTTCCACCCATGTTAATCTTGCAGTGAGAATCTTAAAGCTGAAGAATGAACTTATGTTTATTAAACCTTTGACCCGCATTTGTCACCCAAGAAAGTATTAAATGAATTCTCACAAAGATCTTTGAATATGGTTTTGAAGCCGATCATAAGCAATAAACTTTCACGGATAGATAGTTGGAAATACGAAACGTCACCCACCCTTTTTGAGCCCCATTTCCACCAAGGAGAATTGCACTCTTCGAAAAGTGTGAAACACCCCTCGAATGAATTTAAATAAAGATATTTGAAAATAAGTTTCTTCGCTTTTTTTCCACATATGCGGTTTGAATTTCAGGAAATCAATCAGTAAGTCAGTCAATAAGTCAGTCAGTCAGTCAGTCAGGACAAACAGTTGTATATATAGAGATATTATTGAGATAATTGTTTTCGTAAGTTAGAAGGCAGCAGGAGCACAGTCTGCGAATAAAGCACTTGCACTTGAACTTGCACATGCATTAGCAACACCTTTCACTTGCACTTTTTGCACTACGCCTAGCATCGGAGTAAGATGACCAGGGGCCATGCGTAGTGTTCAAATTGTAACTCTACTTTCGTTTGGCACGCGACATGATCTGTTATTCTCAGTTCTTATTGTAAGAGACTTCTTGGGCGACATGCACTGGAGCTAAGACTTGGTGTAACAATTGGAGTTACAGTGCGTGTACATAGACACAGCACAGGCAGGGCCTCAACCTTAGTTATACAGTTATGATTGGTACGCAGCCAGCGTAAAATATATTAGAAGTCATTTCCGAGCTGAATGGGCTGACACGACGGTCACACAGGAAAGCCCACGCTTGAATGATGGGTAGAGGATAACTACCACGGCGAGTGAGGTGCAGTCGAAGCAGAAAAGCAGAATGGTGAAGACTATATCACAGCTGCAAGTCCCCTCTGTAGGCGCGCCACAAGGCCCCAGCACCATGGATATAGGCCAGCATAGGACAGGAAAAGGAAACCCAAGCACAAACCTCTCAAGTTCGCAAGTCATGGATTTGATAAAAAGAGTGGCTGTGCTAGAGCACCTGAAACTGATATTTTGAGCGAAACGCCATCTTTGAGTGAGGCATTGCCGACGTCATTGGGTGAAAATTTGGGACTAGAGTTGAAAATTGTATTATATTCTTCTGTGCATTTACGGAAACAACTTTTGCATGAAACTGTACTATACATCCAAGAAATGTAAACAATGTGATGGGACAATTATGTTTCAGATACGGCCGCTCAGAACATAATATGTAGCCAACTACTTAGTATTCGAGTGATGCAGGCAATACAAGAGCATATCATTGCTTAAATCGTGCCATTTGCTACATGCGTTAGTAACCTTGTAACCTTTCCACAATGAGCTAACGGAAAACAGCATTTTGCGATTTTTACATTGATAAATGCTTTAGTCGCAAAACTACCACCAAAAAAGAGGGGATGAATTGGCCGGGCATGCAGGTACAATTAGGTCTTTCCCGACTTTCGTACATTTTAGAGCGTGTTTACCGGACTACCAATGAGGTATGTACGATTGTGTGTACGAAGATATAAAGCAGCAGAAGCGTAGACTGCAACGAGCTTAACATAGATCCTCCACAAAATAAGTGGAGGTTTGTACAAAGGGACCGGCTTTGGTTCTCGTGCCTACGAGATGGCCACATAGTAAGGGTCTGCAAAAGGGCCAACGAATGGCAAGTTCATGGATGCCGGAAGAGGCACCATCGCCCTTTACATAATACTGCGTACGGTCACAATGCACCGTAGCCAGCAGATGATGGAGTAATGTATAATGGACGAATGCGCACATAAGGGCACCGCAGCAAGTGGATGACCAAGTGACGCAACAAAGGAAGATAATTTGTGTCGATCCGGAAGGAGAATGCCAACTATTCCGCATATTGCCAGTGACATTGCACGGGGCCAATAAGCGAATCGATACGCATGCGCTCCTCGACGAAAGCTCGTCTGTTACTATAATCGTCGACGAGCTATTGCGCTATTTAGATCTAAATACACATTTGTTTAGTGGAAGAGCAACCACTGAGCCGACCACTGTGGTAAGCATGGCAATTAGTGGAGCGGACAAACGCAAGCGTCGTGTGTTTCGAAATGTGTGTGCCGTGTCGAACCTAAGTTTACCAATGCACAGTCTGCAACGACGCGAGGTCCAAGTGTTGGGCAACGATGCACGATTGCCAATGAAACTGTATCGCGGACTAAACTACGTGCATCTCGAATGCCAATACAAACATGATGCAACACAGGGGCCGTATGCCGCAGCCACCGAACTTGGATGGGTGGTCTTTGGACCGGTAAAAGGTCAATCGACAGAAACGTCATCAAAGTCATTCCTCCTAGCAGTAGCACGGGTGGATTCAATCCTAAAGATGGTACATTTTGATTTGGAGAACTTCAGTGTAAGGCTTACGCCAGCGACGATGTACGAGCACAGAAGATGTTCGAAGACACCACAGTGAAAATCCAAAATCAAAAGGCTTTATTATGGAACCCCGATAATGTGGGTACCTGCTGCTGAATATGAAGCAGACGACGCAACAAGACCGCATCGCCACGTATATCTCAGCCAACAGTAACGATGATTAGACGGTCCGACAATATTGTGGCAGCAGGAAAGCAGCTGGCCGCAGCCCGAACCAGGATATTCATCCTGCGATCCTTGCCCTGGATACATCAAATAACTTTTTCATTTAATTTCAGAGATTCTCTAGCTACGACGGCTTGGGTTCTAAGGTTCACTAGCTTGTGTTGTGGAAAAAGGACTGAGCTTGAGAGATTCGGCCTCACCGCCATGGAATGTGCGAACGCTGAGTGTGACGGGCACAATGCGAATCGTTCCCTGACGAGATTTGAGCCTCATACATTGGGAAGTCAGTCTGTAATCGAAGTGATATAAGATGGCTGGCGCCTTACTTGGATGACACTGGAGCCGCACAGCATATTTGTATTGATTTTTATACCCTTGCAGAGGGTATTATAATTTTGTCGTGAAATGTGTATATGTGTGTATATTCTTGGTCAATATCAACAGCAGAATCGATATACCCATATCCGTCTGTCCGTCCTCTCTCTCTTGCACGCAGTACATATGTCGGAACCAGCTGGATCGGAAAAGTATATCATATAGCTGCCACAGGAACGATCGGTCTAAAATTAAGTTGTTGTAATTAAAACAATTTTGTTTTATAAGATATCTTGACTATACTCGGCATTAACTATTTTCCCTGTGCTTCTTAGATACGGGCAAAGCACTATGAGCATTATGAAAAGGGTCTGCAAGGGTATTAAATCTTCGGCGTGCTGATGTTAGCCCTTCTTTCTTGTTTTTAGGTAAGATCGCATTAAGTATATTAAATCTTATAAATTAATCATCATATAGAGTAAATACTTTTAGCCAATGAAGATGGGCCTGTCGCTAATAAACTTTGTTTGGCTGCGCATTGTGAGTTACGTGCTATTACTTTATTCTAGCTTTACTAATATACAATGAGAAGACTTGATCCCTTTTAAAATGCAATGAAGCATAATAAACAAGTAAGAGGTTCTAGTCGGGAGCTCCCGACTAGGGAGTACCCTGAACCCTCTTATTTCAACACCAAATAAATTTAAAAAAAATTTCCTTGGTAGGGTTTGAGCTCGCAAATGACCGCATTACTTGCTGTCGACTCTACTCAACAGCCACAAAAGGAAAAAAATATTTTCGAACTTGCGACAGACCGCACCACTTGCTATGCCTCTACTCAGCAGCCACACCAATAATTAAGCACTTATGATAAAAAGGAACTTAAATACAGAAAAGAGTCGCAATAACCATGCTGTTAAAATGCGAACCAGATGCGCATGAATGTGTGTGTGTGTACATGTATACAGAATTTCTTAAAGCTGCTGCCCCATTCAATTGCGCAGTTGCATATAACTTTGGTTTTTTCTTAACCGATCTTTATGAAATTTTCTACAGTATATCTTATTGTACCATAGAATACTTGTGTATACTGAAAAAGTCAATTGCATTTAAATTGTGGTTTAAATTGGTTGTCAATACAAGTTGGGTTATTAACTTGATTTTTAGCTCTGGGGTGGTAGCGGGGAGGTGGCGATAGGTATAAAATGAAAGATACTTGACAAATATATACTATTTTAGAAGCAACATTTCTCTTTTGGTGACTCTAGCCCTTATTATTTACCAAAATTGCCCAAAAAACAATCGATATCGATTTTTATCGATTGCTTGGAAACGGAGTATGTTATCGATTATCGGAAACAAACTTGATCTGCGCAGGCACTAGGAGCATCAACATCTAAAATTTCAAGTCTCTAGCTCTTATAGGTTCTGAGATCCTTGCGTTCATACATACGGACGGACGGACGGACAGACAAACGGACATGGCTAGATCAACTCGGCAATTGATGCTGATCAAGAATATGTATATTTGATGGGGTCGCAGATGCTTCCTTCTGCCTGTTACATACATTTGGATTTTACACAAATACAATATATCCTTATACCCATTTTTAATGGGTTCAAGGTATAAAAACCAACGATACGTCAGATCTCGTCCCAAGGTCAAATCGAGTCCAAATAATTAATTAATAAAATTAATGAAAATAAATATTTACGTTTAACAGCAACAGCGCACAATGCTACTTTTTGTCCATGTGGATTAGAAATTACTAATTTGTAGGCACCAGAGTCGTTTGGTTGACACTTTTCGATTTCCAATTTTACCATTCCTTCTGGTGTTGAGGATAATTTTAATCTGTGAAGAAAGCAAGAAGAAATGAGAAATATTAAATACGTTGCTAAAAATCTTAATAACAGTCATTTCATAAAGTAAACAAGTAAGAGGTTCTAGTCGGGGGCTCCCGACTAGGGGATAACCCTGAACCATCTTATTCCAACATCAAATGCAGTTGTTGCATTGATGTTTTCGCTAGCTGCCAATCCAATAGTTGCGCAGTTACATATAACTTTGGTTTTTTCTTAACCGATCTTAATGAAATTTTCTACAGTATATCTTATTGTACCATAGAATTTTTGTGTAGTCTCAAAAAGTCAATTGCATTTAAATTGTGGATTAAATTGGTTGTCAATATAAGTTGGGTTATTAACTTGATTTATAGCTCTGGGGTGGTAGCGGGATCGAGTTTGTTTCCGATAATCGATAACTTACTCCGTTTTCAAGCAATCGATAAAAATCGATATCGACATCCTGTTTTGTGAGCAATTTTGGTAAGTATTAGGAGCTAAATTCACCAAACTTGATATGTTGCTTCTACAATATTATATATATATTAGGTATCATTTTATACCCCGCTAACACCGCAGAGCTATAAATCAAGTTAATAACCCAACTTATATGGCCAACAAATTTAAGCCACAATTTGAATACAATTGACTTTTTGAGAATACACAAATATTCTATGGTACAATAAGATATACTGTAGAAAATATTATTAAGATCGGTTAAGAAAAAACCAAAGTTACATGTAACTGTGCAATTGGATGGGCAGCTAGCGAAAACATCAATGGAATACGAGGGTTCAGGGTACTCCCTAGTCGAGAGCTCCCGACTGGACGTCTTACTTGTTTTTTTTTTTTTTTGCTGGTTTGTCTGTTGAGTAGAGTCGTCAGCAAGTAATACGGTCAGTTGCGAGTTCGAACTCTGCCAAGGGAACTTTTTTTTTTAATTTATCTTTATTATTTCAAAAGAGCGCGTTGCGCGAACTGCATCTGGTGTTGGAATAAGAGGGTTCAGGGTATTCCCTTGTCGGGAGCTCCCGACTAGAAGCTCTTACTTGTTTATTTTATTAATAAGAAAATACACAATGATTACGTAGCTCTAGCTAAAAAATACCTATTTGGAGAAATAACATTATTACAAACAGTGCTAGTGCCGGCGAAAACAAAATTTGCGATAAGCCAGAAACAGCCAACCGTACACATGAATAACAATCAGATAGTCCAGTTAATACAGACCGCCGTTCATGGTGCACAAAGATCATCAGGAAAAGCTCACGTTATTAATAAGTTAAACCATAATCAGTCATGATACAGCCACGGCGGTCCGAAATGCAGAGTTCAAAGATGCCGCATTACATACCTTTGTATCTGGCCTTAAAAGGTTTCTTAGGCAAACAGCGTTTCCCGCGCAACCGCGGGATCTGTCTACTGCCTTCGCTTTCTGCCAACACGCAGAAGAAAGCAAAGCCGCCATATGCTTGCGGTACATTATGCAAATTATATTTGTCCGCTGCAGACTCATGCAATTTTTTTTGGGGAGATTGCCTGCTCCCCTTCATTACACGAACATAACAAACATTTTTTTTATAAGCCACGAAAAGAAAATCCCGTGGCTGACGCTCTATCGCGACAACACGTAAATGCTTTAAATTCAACACAAAGTAACTAATTTGTTGAATTTGTTGAATTAGTTGAACTACTTCCCTCAACCACATTTAGGCATGCCAAATATCTCATCCTAGATACCACCACCAAAACTGAAGTAAGAGAAATCATGACAGCAGAACATAATACAGCTCATAAACCAGCACAGGAAAATATGAAACAAGTTCTCCGGAATTATTTATTTCCAAATATGAAGCATTTAGCATCAGGATTCATAGGATTCGTTCTATGTCAAAACACAACCGACACCCAACAGAACAAGTATTAGGAAACACTCCTATCCTATAAATGTTTTTTTCACGGACAGGAAGAATTTTCTGACGTGCATCGATAAATTTTCTGAGTTCGGTCAATTACTTCATGTGCAAGCATAGGCAAATAAGCACCATTACTATAATCAATAAAAACACCCGAACATAAAGAATGTCTATTGTGCCAACGAAAGGACACTGAACTCTAAAACCATAAGATCCATGACAAACAATTTTGGAATCCAAATTTCTAACGCACCCCGTTTGCACAGCACTTCAAATAAACAAGTCCAAAGATTTCATAACATTCTCAAAGAAATTGCACGGTACATCAAAATCGATAGGCAGATACAAGAATAGATCTTATTCTTCTCTCAACAATGGAGTACAATAAAACAATACACTCAGTTACAAACAAAAAACCCAATTGAAATCATGCATGCACCCCAGCAGGTCTGAACATTTTCTGACTGACAGACTTTGTCAGTTCAATGTAAGAATCAACGCTTCTTCATTATTTGCAGGGTCGCTCTACATCCTTTAAGTCTGCTTTAAAATAAGATCGAGCAAGATTGTAAGAGCTTTTCAGCTCTCAACATATCATAGTCGAATGTGGAAGCAATGTAATCACTGTTATTTCGTTAATGTGCGGCCATTTTAGAAACAGCTCCGGCGATCAGCCTTCAGCTCCTCTTTTCAGAGGAGATTACAAATTTGTATGAGGATTATTTGAAATGTCCTCTTCACGGCAATGGTCGCCATGACATACTTCTGCATCATTGTAGCAACTTACAGTCCATTCCACCCTCTAATCTACAGCGCTTCAAGAAAACTGAGATTTCAATCTGCTAGGTAATGTGGCGTCATGTCCGGTTCAACAGAGACCTACCAAACCTCAAAATTCAATATGCGCTGCTTATAACTTTTTCGGCTGGATATTTACAGGTCCAGTAGATATTTCTTCCTTTTCCACGTCTTTTTGTCAGTCCAGAACCACGGCTGGATTTATCAAGTTCGGGCAGGTGAAATAATTACCAGCTTAACTGTCAAAAGGAGTAAGACTTCGTTTGGGAAAAAACTTTACTCGGACTACTAAAAGGGCTGACACGGCAGATGTGTAGTTACATTACCCTTAAAGATCGTTGAAAGCATTAACTTCAGAAATCTAGATCGATTGCACTTTATTTTCTGAGAAATGAGACTTGTTTAAACATAATCTTTTTACTAAAAGAGAGGAATATTGCGATAGGTTTTGATCCAAAACACAGTCCACTCCATACGTCCATGCCAAGTTTACTCCGCTAAAGAATTGTTCGAGCGCTTTTCAACTCTCAGATGGGTCAATTCTATCTATGGGCAAATTGCAAATTGACTGTGTGTGTCGGTTATGGCAAGAAGTTTCAAACCCAACTCATGCGTGAGTTGCCCGAAGAACGAAGCACATTCTTTTAAGTTTTCAAACAAATGTATATTTCGCTGGGCCATTCGACAAAAAAAAAAAAAAAAAAAAATACCCAGCTCGATCCGGATGCATTAACAAGGGCTATTTAAACGATATGTATGCTTTAGCCCCTTCGTATCTGACGACTGAAAAATTCCAGGCCACCTGCTTGATACTTCTCTCGACAAATATACTTCGATAGCGGCAAAGTTTTAGTCGCCATTTCCAGATCCTAAGCCTAATATTTGTTCCCGGATACCAAGGGGGATGGGGTTTACGCCGTAAGGTATGCACTGCCAAAGGCTCGTTGCGTCCCAGTGACAAGATTAGCAACGTACTTTTCTAGAGTAATATTGGCTTAATAGACTCTATACTTCTAGGTACTAGACCAGTTTAGAATAAATCCTAGACGAGCCTAGTAAAATCGAATGCAGAATGATAGGAATACTTTTTTCAGCACCTGCACATTATTATTAAGTCTCGATGTCTGACCCATCTAATCAAGCCATATCAAGAATTAAGTTTCAATCAGGAAAAACTGAATTATAATAGCAGCACAAACACTGAGAATAGCATACGATACAATTGAGACATTTGTATGCACATGTATGCATAAATTCTTTCGTAAAATTTTTAAAATAGATAAACTGAGTCTTTAGAAGCCATGAAATATATTTTTTGCATGGAATGTAAATACCTTGGGCTAGCCTTGATTTCATCACCATCCTTAAGCCATTGAACTGTTGGTAAAGGACTGCCATCCAGTGAACATTCTAGAACAAGAGGCTCATCCTGTAGAACGTCTAATGCACTGTTAAGTTTTTTCGTAAAGTTTGGTGGAAGGGCTTGCAAGCCCAATTCAAATGATATTTTGGTTTCGCCCACTTCATTTTTAGCAACACATGTGTACTGTAATAAAAGATACACTTTTGGTAATGTTTTTATTAGGAAATTCGTCATACCGTTCCAGCATTATTTTCCTTAAATTTCGATATTCCAAATATACCCTCAACTTGATCGGGTGTTGTGTTTGTAGATTTAGCGCTGTAGGCCTTTTCCTGGGAAAGCTTTTCAACAGTTTCAAAGTCAATAGGCTTGTCATCTTTAAACCATTCAATATATGGTGTAGGAACTCCATGCACTACTACTCTTGTTGAAACAGGCTGTAAGTCGTGAATTATTTGGTTTTCTGGTGGAACTATAAAAGATGGCTTTTCAACTGAAATGAATTAAAAATGAGTAACATCTTATGTTTTAGAGCTTAAATTTATTTAAAAATTACCAAGCACTTGCAAATAAAATTCGCTGTCAGCTCTTCCTTCTGAATTTACTGCTGCAATTGAATATTTGCCGTCTTCTTTTGGTGTAACTGACGGGAAAACAATTCGGTACTTATCTGCATCAACATCGGCGATGACCTCACAGCTCTCTTTGTTGCAAAGGTTTTCATTTCCCCGAGTCCACGAAACTTTTGGTTTCGGGTTGGCAAGCACTAATGCTTCAAAGCAGACAGACTGACCTGGCAAGCATTTATGGTTCTTCAAACCAGAAATTTCAGGTTTCGCTAATACGTCTATATAGCCATTTGTTGTCAGTTCTCCATATTTGTTTTTTACTTTGAGCTCATAACGGCCTGAATCCTTAATGTCAGCTATTTTAATTAAAAAAATTGTAAAATGTTAATCAGAATGACATTAAATTAAATTTGTTTCATAGATAATAATATAATATTTTAACTGAATTTATAAGGATCTAGGAGGGAGTGGTAGACTTGGAGACTTGGAGAGATAAAAAAACATTCGATGTTTCTATTATAAAGAACAAACTGTAGAAATACAAGCACCCTATGCAGCATCTTTTCGCATTCTTCCCTTGTCTACACAATTTTGGAAATGCGCCATCGTCGCCCCCGAAACATCTTAAAATTGAATGTAATAACCGAGTACATACGAGCACTAACCATACAATACATAGATACGTCGAAGCATAATAATTTGATGTGAGTGAACCCTATTAGTGCTTGCGTCCATTTCGATGTGCCCAGAGAGAGTAAGAATGCTGAGAGTGGCAGCCGAACGCTAACCTTGTGATCGCTCAGTATGAAGCCGCATCTCGCTCAGCGTACAACCGCGCTGGGGCAGATGATTTTTCGTAAATTGCTTATAGGCCAAAAACATATGTATGTATGCATGTGCGGAGTGTGCCTCGCTTTCACTCATTGCTTTGCGCTAGTGTGCATCTCATTCTCCCTGCATAGCTTTTCAAAAATCTCGAGATGTATAAACATACATATGCTTGTGTTGTGTGGATGTTCGCGCAAGTAGGTTACGGCGTTTGTCTCTAGCAAGAGATTGTCTCTTCAATTGGCTGGCGCTGCCTTCGATCTTTTGGTAGACCCTTTTGTGCCTGCGGTAGCAAAATTCACACACATTTGAATACTCTTATGTATTTGTTCGTCCAGTCAGAAATGATGAGTAGAATTTGATTTAAATTATTTAACAAAAATGTAAATTACCTAAAAGAAATATTTATATTTAATATTATAGATTTTTGCTTAAAATAAAAAAATCTAAGTTGTACGTCTGCAAGGCTAATTCATCGTCTTCGCTTTTCGAAGTATTCTGAAAAAAACCAAATATTGAAATTCGGGCCGGCCAAGCACGCACAAATACACAATTTTCTATACGGCTTGTGAGCTTGCTGGATCCCTTCCTGTTGGATGCAAATTTGAAAAGTTTTTAGGTTTCGCAGTATGCACACACACGCACACACATAAAAGTGAGTGTATGCTCGCCGACAGGTGCGATATATCCCCTAGATAGTTAGCTAACACGAGAAGGCAACTGAGACTGAGACTAGTAAGTCTTAGGTTGTTAACACTGGGCAGCCCTATCTGATTATACGATCCCTGGGCTAACGGATGACAAGAGGCTAACTCTGTTACCGCCACCGTCCCGTTAAAACAGTGCAAATCTCCAAGCACGCTCCTCGTCACCATTTAGTAGGCAGTATATGCTCAGATGTAATATTCCTGATTAACGCGGATTTGGCTTTGAAAACTCGACCCCATGAAAGCGGGTGTCAACCCTCGCATTGCTTCACTGCTTGCAAAGACAACAATGATATCATAACGCGACTGTACAACGATCAAAGACAACGGCTTAGGAGTTGGAACCAAATAACATGAGTAATACCCAAACCCCACAAACGAAGGAGAGCTTTCATGCTCTGCAAAGAGCAAAATGACTTGACCAGTAGGTGTACCGATAGCAGTCCCCGCAGAGACGACTTCTAATCGGGACCAAATGACGATTCCTCAGAGTAGCTCAGCACTCCGAAAATTCAGGCACGGGATCTCACAGCTGGTAGAAATGCTTGAAGATGGCAAGCAACGGTCCACCCACCAGCTCATGGGTGACTCGTGGTGGTTATTAGGATGCATCAGTCTTCACAAACCTCGCCCCTGTTCAGTACGACGGTGGATGTAAAGCGGAAGCAGACCACGGCACGTCAGGCAGAGTCCCGGACGATGTCCCATCGAGTAACAATTGATGGCAAAGACATGGATGAGATTACGACTAGAGAGGATATTTTCGAGGCGCTGAATAGTCAGATGCAACTACTGGACGTATCCCCAGAAAATATTAGCCCGCGAAAGCCGGGAATTGAGAAAAAAAACCTATCAGTAGGCACACTGAAAGTAGGGTGGGCCAGCTCAAGGCTCCGCGAGCGGATAAACATCACCAGATGTTTTAGGTGCCTGGGTATGGAGCAAAACGGCCATATGGTTAAATCACCGCCCCAGTAAGTAAGATCAGCTCACGACGGAATTCGCATTCAGCGACCATCAAGCGGTACACTTCGCGATCCACCGGAGAGGACGGAAGCAACAGCAGCCTAAAACAAGAGGCCCTAAATGGAAGGACAGCTGACTAGACGAGGAAACATTCAAGGGCTCTATACACCATGCTCAGTGGACATGGACAACGGACTCAGCAGAGGACATGGCGCAGCAACTAATGAAAAGCACCTCGGATGCGTGCGACTTATCCATGCCTAGGAGAACGCCAAGCAGAAGAGGAGCACCATGCTACTGGTGGATCGCGGGGATCAGATATGTAAGGAAGACTTATTTATGTGCAAGAAGGCGCTCTCAACAAGCCCGATGCCGCCCAGATTATGGTTGGGAGACCTCTGGGCAGCCTAACGAGTCCTCAAGCAAAGTATAAAACAGAGCAAATCCAACTGCTTCCATGTTACAAGGTCGTAACAAAAAAGATTAGCAGTCAAGGAACAATTCGTGTCACCTGCCCTACTGCACTCGCCACTAGTCGAGGCACTGAAAGACGCTGGTAGAGTTAAAGGGGCTCAGTCGGGGTCCCGCAAGGGCGACGAGGTGCAATTGCCTCAGGGTTGCACTATCATAGGATTCACAGATAATCTGGCTCTAGTAGTGGTGGGCAAAGAAATCAAAGAAGTAGAAGCAGCGGCTAATGCTGGATGTGGACCGATGTGGTCAGTAGCGGTAGCAAGCCAGAAAGGCCTCCGAAGGAAGCTGACGATCCCTTACAAACTCAGCGCACTATGCGTTATCTCTGGGTTCAAACGAGGCAGCCAGTTTACTGGAGGTAATGCCGCCAGTAGATATACTTGCGAAGAAAATAGGGAAAATATACGCAGAATAGCGATGGACGATGCTACTTCACTCGACATCAACCGAAGATCGGAGAGAGCAGTATCAAAGACAACTTGATGGAAGCCTGTAGCAATGAACTAGAAGACGAAAAGTGTGACCGAACTGTACAGGAAGACATCGATTCAGACACGAACTGCCCAACTCTGGACGAAAATCTGGAACACGTGCTGTACTAATGTCCGTGGGGATGGGTTGCCTACTTTAGGCTTACTCTATTCCTCGCCGGTATTTTTCTCATATTCTCAGATCCCTTTGGATGCCTATATTGAGCTGGCACAGCTCACAGCTCTCTCCGGTTGTTTTCTCCTTTTAATAATATTATTAAAAATATTAACTCTGCACAATATGATCATAATAAAACAATAGGATGGTAATAAATAAAAGATTTATCAAATCAATATCATTTTTCATAAAGGAAATAAGGCGAGCTTTCGAAAATGAAAAAGTTACTAAGAATTTATAGTTTTTAGATTTTAAAGTTTTCAAGACACTATTGCTTACCTTATCTAAATGACTAATTATTTTGAATGCGAAAGCGCAATAGATGCAATCAAAATTTTCTCGGCATTCGAGTAAAATATATCTAACATTGCCGTGACACAACCATGAAACTTCTGGACGTCATTATTCACCATTGAGCTTGCTGAGAATGTGTTTCTATTTGCTAAAGCATCTTTCGGTAATATTTACCTTTTTTTACATATTCGAATGTTCCTCTACTCTCTGCAATGCCTATTGTCGCATGATTCTATTGAGTTCGTAAGGTTATATTCAGCCGAAGTATTATTTCACTATTATTTCATTAGAAGATTAATAAAAGTGCTACAGTTTAATAGGGGCCCATTTCATTAGACGACCAATACGTGTACTCAAACCAGCATATTGAATCTGTTGTTTGCTGATTTAGATAAGCTCAACGATTTTGGAAGTCGAACGGCTACAGCTATTATTTATTATTATAATTTATTTGTTTTATTTTATTATCCACTAACGTGGTTAAAACAAGTAAGAGGTTCTAGTCGGGAGCTCCCGACTGGGAGATACCCTGAACCCTCTTCATCAAATGAATATATATATTCTATTTTAGAAGCTATATGTCATGTTTGGTGGCTCTAGCTCTTATTATTTACAAAAATTGCCCAAAAACAGGATATCGATATCGATTTTTATCGATTGCTTGGAAACTGAGTAAGTTATCGATTATCGGAAACAAACTCGATCTGCGCAGGCACTAGGAGCACCTATATCAACTCTCTAGCTCTTATAGGTTCTGAGATCCTTGCGTTCATACATACGGACAGACAGACAGACGGACATGGCTAGATCGACTCGGCTATTGGTGCTGATCAAAAATATATATACTTTATGGGGTCGGAGATGCTTCTTTCTGCCTGTTATATACATTTGGATTTTGCACAAATACAATATACCCCTATACCCATTTTTAATGGGTTCAGGGTATAAAAATTGAAGAAATCTGGAAACACTTATATCTCCCGACATGCAGTTGCCAAAGCAAACTTTTCTAGAAAACATTGACATTTTAACCATCTTTAGTTTCACATAATTCTAGGTATTTTAAAACTTTGTTAATTTGTCAAATCTAAACGCTATGCAATTTTTGGTACAGCTCCATATTGTAACTAGGAACGTACTTATAGGGCTCTAATGGTGCTTAGGTGCTTTACGGTATTGAGTTGTAGCACTTTGTAAACTTGTCTTAAAACTTTACCATGTGCGATAAGGTTAATCACTCCTTGCTTCTTCACAAATTAAGCCTCTCGAGTTCCCAGTCAATCTATATAGGGCTTGAATTACTGCACATAAAAGGTTTTATTCAGAAATCAAAATTGTATCCATGTGAATTATGGGGTTCTGATTTGCATGTTAGAATGTTGCTTTCTGTAAGCTATTCAAAGCCGACATTAATATCTTAGTTCTGTTGGTAATATCCTTTTGAGTCTTAGTGACTTTTTATAGAAATTCCCCAGAATAATTTCTTAAAAAGTTGATAGCTAACCGCTCGGACATATCAACAATAGCGGTAATGAAGTTAATGATCTTAATGTCATTCCTAATCATAACGCTTGGCCTGTTTAAGCTTTCATTATGTGTTGATTACAACAATCTTTTGTACGTTCTATTCTTAATTTAATCTTACGTGTCTAGGGTACCAGACTATCGACTCAGCTGTTGATGCTGATCAAGAATATATATACTTTGTGGCGTTACATACATTTGCACGAAACATTACTAATTTTAAATGGGTTCAAAGTATAAAAACAATAAAAACGGACATCTTCGGCCCGCCGAAAACTATATACCCTTGAAGAATTGTGGCTTACGAGTTTTTGATGTTATGGGAGAGGAATCGTGAAGCTTCTTTCAGTCGGGATGGGGAAAGATTTCTTTAAAAAAGATTTGGCCACACAACTCAATCGGAATAGGAATCGAGACCGTACCGACCGCACTAATTGGCACCGTCCTCCTATTGCCCCCACAGTACACAAGTTTGTTTCCAATTATCAATAAAAATAGATATCGAAATCCTGATTTTGAGCGTTGTTACTTAAATTGGTGGGTAGCTATTAATTTAGTTATTTATTTTACTTCTGGATATAGGATAGAGGTAGAAGTGACGATGGCTATACAAATAAAAATACCTGCTCTGTATATAGAACTTAAGAAGCTACATGTAAAATTTGGGGACTCGAGCTCTTAAAACCGTAGAACCGATGCACCGAACGATTGCAGCGACAATGTAACCGGGTAGCAAGAGACCTCGCTGGGAGGTCTGCAGTCAGGAGGCTCAAGAGAAGATCCTTTAAGGACCTCCTCCAACCACGACACAGGAGACGCCCCAGAGCCCCCGACTACCTACGTGACGATGCAGCCTTACTCAAAGATTATATATATTTTTATCGGTTTTCTGAAATTGGGGCAAGTTGTCGGTTTAGGGAAACTAAGATGACCTATGTCCCAACTCTTATAGGTACAGAGATAGACGCATTCATTCGGACGGTTTAGGGTATAATAATGGTTGCTGACTTTAGAAAATAAAACCAAAAAGCGGGCGGTAACTACCCTTCAATTTCGCAATTCCTGTCAATTTCGGCTAAAGCCAAATCTTAAACAAAGTTAGTCGTGAAATCATGATTCCACCAAATTGATCTCGCGGAAAGGGATAGAGAGAAACCGTTGACGTATCTGAGTGTATTAGCGCACATTGGAATATTAAGCAATATTAGCTTAGCGCTAATTCTCATGTGCTTGGTACTCATTCGTATCAAACTAAATTGTTGACAGATCACAGATCACCACGCAATCTGACTTGACTACCGATCCTTTCCAGAAGATGAGGCTGGCTCTATACTGACCTCGTACATACATATGTGCGCTAAGCGGCCACTGAAGAACGGCATTAAATATAAGTTAGCGTTCTGCGAATGCTGCTGCCGCAGCTCTACGGCTAATTAATTGTTTAACTGTTGGTTACACGGATCGAGCTATAATTAATAGTAGGAGCCTATAGGTATATTAAAATGAATGAATACGCAAGGAGTATGCAGAATATAACATAAAGTTGAATAGCAATTAGAAGCTAGAAAGAATGCTTTTTTAATTAACCTAAGACCTAAGACCAGAGACATCACAACTTTCTGCTGCATCGTTAAGATGCATGTCGCCATCGCTTCTGTCAATAGATCATGACCAAAAGATAAGCCCGATTATGCAATGATTTCATTATGAAGTGATTGAGAAATAGCCTTGAAACGTAAGTACCTACGTAGGTATCAACACATTTCTGCTCAAGAATCAAATTAAAGTCAAAGGCTGTTTCCTTAAAACGATAGTCGAGGCTTGTTTTCGTGTTCCGTAGCTAGTGTAAGAAACTATTAGGTAACCCCAAAACGTTTAGAAAATTCTAGTTAAGTCAGTGGATCTTGAAGACCAATTCGGTCGCATTTCGTTGTTGACCAAATCTAAGAAGACTCTCCCTAGACTTAAATTATGCGCTGCACACCATCCCGCGAAACTCCTATAAAATTGCTGAGCGAACAGACGGTTTTTGGTTTCTAAAATCACGTCCCTTTGGAATCGGTTATATTCTTCGGTCTTGACAACATTTGTGTCGAGGCGAGTGGCTTAAATGCAAGAGTGGAAGGAGAACGGTGAATATCGCCCTGTACCCACAAAAGGAAGATATTGTTTCGAGAGGCTGCGATGCTGAGGAGTTAATTGCGTCGTTTTGGTTTGATTCAGCTTTTATTTTAAAGGAACCAAAAGAATCTTGGCTGGCTAACCAGCATCTGACGAGAGATGAAACGCGTAGCTTAAGAGAATGTAAAAAAGCTGATGGACTAGCAGCATTGGTAATTTGACCAACTATCGATGGGTTTTCATCGCATGCTAGGCTGCTGAGATGAAATATGAAATGGAAAAAAGTTTTTGAGAAAACAGCCATCCGACTAGTTGAGTTTAAAGATGACTTAGAAAGGGTTCGAAAGCGCACACCCGTGGGTAATAGCCTGCAGTGTCTTTATCCATTTACTTAGGATATTTTATTATGGATATTTATGAAGTGGGGGACGACTTCCACATTCTCCTCTTTCGTACGATGCCTCTACTTCTGACTACAAGCTCGCAATTTTCCAGAAACTTAATTTGATAGATGCATTTGACGGTTTTTCATGCTAGTCTAAGGGCACTCGAGAGTCTTCTTTGTAAGCGATTTGGCAAATTAACGCTGAAGAGGTCTGGTGCACTCATTTTCCATCTGTGCCGTCGATTTTCTTGGCGTAGTTGACAGAATACATCTTTGACAATAGATTTACTCAAGAAACAAAAAGCTATTGCAAGCGGCCAAGTAGCTTTGCTTATTTCGTGCTCCTTAAAGCCAAACTTATTCTTTCAAAATATTGCGTTCCAATGCAGCATCCATCACCAACGTTTAACGTGCTCTTCTCGTCAATGAGAGGAGTGAGCTTAGAAAATCAAGTAACCCCCTAATTTTGAAAAAATTGTGCATACTCGAAGGCTTAACAAGACAGAAATAATCGTTGGATCCATTACGAGGCACTGTCTATTAAGAAGAATTTTATCATAAATTGGGAGCAAGTAAGGCTCGTAAATGGCAAGCTTTGGTGGCCATATGTTGAAAAAAAGTCAGTCTAGAAGTTGGTATATACCGATTATTCCTTCAGCATATAGTGGTCCGATTTCGATATATTTATGGACAAAAAAGGAGGACCAATCGTAAGTTAAATGAGGACAGCTTTAAAATTGAAAGATTAATTTGCCTAGAAACAGTTTGCCGTCTGTATATTCATAAACATATTTCTTAACAAAATTTTATAACAAGGGTACAAATCCTACCTCCCAATATATTGATTGTGCACGTATATTGTGCAAGTCCGTTTTCCAAGTCTTTTGATTCAATTTTTAATATATGTTTTTCATCTTCAGGAACCTTCTCTCCATCCTTAAACAAAGTTATTTCGGGTAATGGATCCGCTGTAAGTATCACACTTTCATTAACGTTCTCTCCCTTCCTTATTTTGATATCTCGTAGCCCGCTGCTTGAGATTTGTTTGGGTTTCCTGTATTCTGCTGCACCTAGGTATACAATTAAATTAATTTTTTATTAAATAACATTTTTTTTTTTGTTAATAATAAATATATACTTGACAGCGATAGTACTCCTTGGTGGCTTTTTTCCCCGCACTTATTTTTTATTACTACTTTGTATTCACCGGCATCCTTAAGGTCTAATGACTTTACTTCCAATTTATAACGATCCTTAAATATATAATTATTAAAATTGGATGTGTACACAATCCCTATTTATACAAACCCCATCAACAGCTATACCAAAATGTTCGTCAGAAGTAAGAGGCTTCCCATCGTGATACCACATTGCCTCCGGCTTAGGTATACCTTTGGCGATGACTTCATATTTAAGGGGAAGGCTTTCAAAACTGTGTATTTGAAAAACATCAATGTGAAGAATTTCGGGTACCGCTAAAAATATACATAAACAAATCTTTATTATTAATAATACCATAAAAAGTATATAACATTGTTATAAACTGTCGACCTAACATTTTTAAAGCACTTGCTAAGACTATTCTTAATTCATACAGGGCACAACAAACGTTAAATAACATTGAAGAATTACTGTTCAAGGTTAAAGGTTCTGGCAAGTGCCATTGATAAAAATTGAGTTAAAAATACAGTAAAAAACGGTAAACATTTAATTTTGTGGATACCACACTCTATCTTGCAAAATCATATAGATTAAAATTCCAATCGGAAATCTATAATTTTATGACCCATTTTAACACACTTTTTAAGGTTGATTTTTGAAAGCAAATAAACAAATAAATACAATAAAATATAATAAAGAAAATTTCAGTACGATCAGTTAGGAAGTGCAAAGGTTTTTAAAAAAAAGTTCTCAACCCGCATGTCAGCGCAAAATAGAAGAACTGCATACGTGTGCGCAGGAACATTAATATGCGTAGGTCTTCTTTAAATCTGTATAAAAAACAAGTAAACAGCTCTAGTCGGGAGCTCCCGACTAGGTGATACACTGAACTCTCTAAAAAAAGTAAGTGGTTTTAGTCGGGAGCTACCGACTAGGGGATACCCTGAACCCTCTTCTTTCAACATCTAATGCATATATATATTCTATTTTAGAAGCTATATGTCAAGTTTGGTGACTCTAGCTCTTATTATTTACCGAAATTTCCCAAAAAACAAGATGACGATATCGATTTATCGACTGCTTGAAAACGGAGTAAGTTATCGATTATCGGAAACAAACTCGATCTAGCGCAGGCACTAGGAGCACCTACATCTAAAATTTCAAGTCTTTAGCTCTTATAGGTTCTGAGATCCTTGCGTTCATACATACGGACGGACAGACAGACGGACATGACTAGATCGACTCGGCTATTGATGCTGATCAAGAATATATATACTTTTCGGGGTCGGAGATGCTTCCTTCTGCCTGTTACATACATTTAGATTTTGCACAAATACAATATACCCTTATACCCATTTTTAATGGGTTCAGGCCATTAAAATAGTTGCCTCAGAGCGGTTGAACTCGCAACATCCCGCACTTCTTGCCGCCGCATCTACTTAACAGCCACACAAATAATTGAGTCTTAATGAGAAAACAAGGAATTAAAATAGTAGCGCAGAAAACAATACAATCGCAATTGCATTGCTGTTGATAGAACTCGAAGCAGACGCGCATGAATGTGTGAGCACATGCAGAAATTCTTGGAATTTTCTAGCGGCCGCAGCCAAAACACATTTTCTTTTGAGTTCACACATGAACACGTGACACTGAGTCTCAGTTTGACCTTCGGTAAAAGTATACCTCACACCATATTGTACAACTGCATCAAGCAGCATAAAAATAGATAGCGCCGATGTGGTCGCGTAACATTCCATAAGCGACTAATACTCTAATTAAACACAATATTTTATGATCGCTGCTGTCAATAATGCACTGACAGCAGACCTAAAATAAGACACTCTGTTAGTATATAAGACCTAGGACTCGTCAGAATAAAATCAGTATCTTACAAGTTCTCTCTAGTTCATTTGGTTCTTCGAGCAGTGCAGTAAAAGCAGCACTCCGAACCAAAAGTTTCGAGCAGTGCAGTATTAACAGCACGCTGAAAAAACAAAAAAATCGAGCAGTGTAGTTCAAACAGCACGCCGAAACAAAAAGTTTGTTACGGTCAGAACAGTACTAACGGCACGCCGATTAAAAAATTTTTCGAGCAGTGCAATAACAACAGCATGCCGAAACAGAAAAAGACGAGCAGCCCAGAAGACCAGATTGGCAGGGAGGATCAACGCCCATCCAAAGGGCAAAACTCTTAAAGGATGTGACACGTCGCCCTCACCGACTGCGCTTCTAAACGGGAATTCGGAAAAGCAAGAAAAGGTCTAAGCAACTAAACAACGCCTACATCCCTCGTCAAAAGGTCACGACGCACAGCAAAACCAACTACGTGGCGCTCACTGAATCAGAAAGCACAACAAAAAACAAGTAAGAGGTTCTAGTCGAGAGCTTCCCACCAGGGAGTACCCTGAACCCTCTTATTCCAACACCAAATAAATTTAAAGAAAAGTTACCTTGGCAGGGTTTAAGCTCGCAACTGGCCGAATTACTTGCTGTCGTCTATACTAAACAGCCACACCAGCAAAACAAAAAAAAAATAAATACTTTTCCCGGTGGGGCTCGAACTCGCGACAGACCGCACCACTTGCTATGCCTCCACTCAGCAGCCACACCAATAATTAAGTACTTATGATACTTATGATAAAAAAAGGATCTAAAAAAGCATTACAGAAAAATTCCTAATTACCATGCTGTTAGAATGCGAAGCAGACGCGCATGAATGTGTGTGTGTACATGTATAAAGAAATTCTTAAAGCTGCTGCCCCATTCAATTGCGCAGTGCATATAACTTTGGTTTTTTCTCATGAAATTTTCTACAGTATATCTTTATGTAGCATAGAACATTTGTGTATTCTGAAAAAGTCAATTGCAAATAAATTGTGGCTTAAATTGGTTGGCAACAAAAGTTGGGTTATTATCTTGATTTATAGCTCTGGTGTGGTCGCGGGGACGTGGCGATAGGTCTAAAATGAAAGATACGTGACATATATATAATATTCTAGAAGCAACATATCATGTTTGGTGACTCTAGCTCTTTTTATTTACTCAATTTGCTCAAAAAACAAGATGTCGATATCGATTTTTATCGATTGCTTGGAAACGGAGTATTGGAAACAGCCTCAAACTGCGTAGGCACTAGGAGCACCTCCATCTAAAATGTCTCTAGCTCTTATAGGTTCTGGGATCCTTGCGTTCATAAATACGGACAGACGGATAGACGGACGGACAGACAGACGGACATGGTTAGATCGACTCAGCTATTGATGCTGATCAAGAATATATATACTTTTTGGGGTCGGAGATGCTTCCTTCTGCCTGTTACATTTGCATTTTCACAAATACAATATACCCTTTTTACCCATTTTCAATGGGTTCAGGGTATAAATAGAAGAAGAACCGCAATCAGGACCAAAGCCCTTGTCCATAGAGGAATATTGGGCAAGGCAACCGGCGGCCAAAGCAGCAAAAGCAGCGCGGAAGGCAGAGGAAGAAAAACTAGTGGCAATACTATATCCCAAGGCCCCCAAGAGACGAGGAGGCCAAAGGACGAAACTCAAAAAGGAAAGAAGAGAACTACTGGAGCAAGTAAATAAAAATCCTCCACCAATTATAAAAAATAAAGTGAGAGTGCGACCCTTGGCGCACCCATGCGAGATCGGCGACAAGATCGCCTCACAATAAATATATATATACATGATTTATAAGATTAAAAATATTCAAATACAGTCCATTGAAGATAAAAATTAAAAAGAACTTATTAAAAAATAATAATAATTTCTTTTTAGAAAAATGATGTCAGATAAAACCCTAGAATTGTTGACGAAGCAGTCGCAATTAGTGGGCAGGATTAGGGAAATAGAGGCTGGTCAAGGAGGAGAGTTAGAAGAGGTAGGAGATCTGCAAAGGCAGTTTCATGTCAATCATAGCGTATTGTATAAAATTGGAGCAGTCGATCATGACTACTTCAATAAGAAGCAATACGATGTGATAATGGAAGTTATAGCCAAAATTAGGGAAAAACTGTCAGGTAGCTTAAATAGGAAAACAACAGAAGAGAGGGCGAAACCAGTTCGCCAAGATAGTACGAAATCAGAGGCAATAGAGAGGAAAGCCAATGAATTCGACAGGCCGATGTATGGAACAAATGTTTAGATGAAACGCAGGTGGACATTAGGGAAAACAACAGTAAAATGTTTGGATTCATAAGAAAGAAGATAGTATTTCTTTGGGAAGAAATACAATTCTTTAAAGAAGAGTTTGACAGCAACGTTATGTTTGATAGGGAAATTAAAAAGCAATAATTCGATTTACAGAACACGATAGACGAAAAATCAGGACAGATGCAAGACCATTGTCAACCAAAATTAGGGGGTTGCCATGTCAAAACAGAGGAGCTACGAATGATCCCGAAAATGCAGATGTCCACCTTTTATGGGAATTCCAAAGAGTGGGACCCCTTTGCCGAGTTGTTTACAGAGTTGGTTCAATCAAGAAAGAATTTGAGTCCAGTTCTTAAACTTAACTATTAGAAAACGGCACTAAAAGGAGAAGCAAGATGCATGGTGTCGCATTCGCTAAGAGGCTATAAAAGGAGCTGCTTACAGTAGATGCAATTGTTTTGCCAAAACTGATGAAAGCGCTTTTAATTAAATCAGTAAATATTGATAAAATTAAATGGAAAGCTATATAATAGCTGATCCGCAGTTTAACAAACCAAGTCGAGTAGATATGGTTATCGGAACTGACCTGAATTCTCACATTTTAAAAAATTGAGTAGTAAAAATCGACAGGCTTCTCGGCCAGAACACAGAGTTCGGGTGGATAGTGTCTGAGTGCACAAAATCCAAAGTAGAAGAAAAAAAAGTCGCTTCAGTCATTGAGTTTAAAGACTTGAAAATATTTTGGGAGATAGAATAAGATACAGAAGATGCAGAAGCAGAAATCTGCGAGAACAATTTTATTGAAACAACAAAAAAAGAATCGGATTCAATGTGAATACCTTGAATTCAGTTACTATTCCGTTTAAGAAAGATATAGAATCAGGGGAAACAAGACCACAAGCAATGGCACTATTTCTAAATTTAGAGAAATAATTCAAAAGAAATACACAGCTTAGGGAAATTTACAGCAATTTCTTAAAAGAATACATGGACTTAGGACATATGGTCAAGTCCAACGAAAAGGGAAAGTATTATTTACTCACACAACAAAGTTGACAGTAGTTTTCGATACAACCGCAAAAACCACAAACAACAAAAGTTTAAATGATATAATGTGGGTGGGACCCAGAGTCCAAAAAGATATTTTCGACGTCGTA